AGACCCCAGAAGTTTGGAGAAGCCAGGAATATGGATTGTCCAAGGGAGAATTGCATGTATGTTTTGCAAGTACAAGGGCCAGAGTTCAATCCCCAGTACAAACAAAACAAACAAACAAACAAAAAACCCCAAAAAACACAGGAAGAGTCTCAACATCTGTCTGTGGAATCAGTGGCAGAACGATCCCAAGAGGCCATTTACATGCTGGTAGAGCCAAAGGATCCCATAATAGTCAAAGGTCAAAAGCCCAGAAGTTCGCTGCACCTGTGCAAGTCTGTGTCGGAAAACTGGAGTCTGTTTGGAGAGCTGACGAATCTATGTTAAAAGCCTGAAGGAACTGGAGACCAACATCAAAAGGCAATGGTAAAGACTGGAGCTATTCTGAAGAAAAAAGGCAGAGACTTATTTCTCTTTCCCTTTTATTCTATCCAGGTTCCAAGCCTAGTGGTTGATGTCACCCACATCCAGGGTGGGTCTTTCCTCCTCCGTTTGTGGCCTACATGTCAATCATCCACAAACATACCAGAGCTCTACTAATCTAGTAGGTGGTTTTTGTTCAAGTCAATTTGACGCGTCACAAGTAACAATCAAAGTATGTATCTTAAAAATTAAGAGCTATTTTAAAAAAATAATTACTTTAATACCTTTGCACACCTGAAAAGTTCTTTTCTACCATTAAATATACAGTTAGTGTTTAAATTGCCCAAATTATCTGTGCTTGCAAGGCAGTTGGCGGCATCACTTAGTTAAATTACCGGCCCTTGGGCCCTTGATGTCTTTTTAAAATTTTTTTTCCTCATTGAGTTTATTGGTACATTTTAGGGATACAGTACAGTTACATTCATTGTTGGGATCTTGTACCTCCACATGACAGGTCTTGGTTCTCATTTTTCCCCTTACCCCTGCCCTCCCTTCAACCCCTCCTCCCCTCCCCATCTACAAACACTTTATTTTCATCTTCTCATTATCTCACATTTTTTTCTTTTTCCCTTATTACCCTTCCCCTACCCATCCCACCTTCCCTACACCTTTCAACCTTTTCTTCCCATTTCACAATGTCAGTTATCTCATTAGGATCTTATGTACTATTACAGTTTATTCACACCAGAGAAACTATTCAGTATTTACACGTGTGACTTACTTATTTCATTTAGAAGTATATCCTCAATATGTATCCATTTGATGTCCTTTTTTAAATATGGGTTTTGTTGGAGCCAACTAAGATATATCCATTATATTTGACTAATGTGTTTATTTTAATATATGATGGTCCCTTTTCCTTTTTTTTTTTTTGAGACAGAGCCATGCTTGGTAATGCAGGCTTCCCAGCTCTGTATGTAGCCCAGGCTGGCCTTGAATTCATAGCAATCCTCCTGCCTCAGCCTCCTGTGTGCTGGGGTTATAGGCTTGGACCACCATGACTGGCTCTCCTTTACTCTTCTTTAATCTGGAACTTTATTAGAGACACTAGCTCATCTACCCTGAAATGTTTCCTCCATTTTCTGTGGTAAAGATTGCCTCCTCGTAAGCTGGTAACAAACTTGGAGGCTTCATCAGATTCCTGTTTGGGTTGGGCCAAGAACATTTCACAGGAGGAGAGGTCACTTTGTCTCCTATCAGATCAGAAGGCAAAAGAAGCTGGTTGAGTCCCATGTCTCAATATGACCCTCTAAGTCCCTCCACAAGGGGATCTATGATCTCTTTAGGGGTTGCAAAGCGAGGGTATTAAAATTCTGTGATTCCTTTCCTAAAAGCTTATTAAGGGAAACATTGTTGACCTTGAAATTCAGTCTGTATGGGAAAGATAGGGTAAATCCTTGATTCTTTTATCAGTTGTCAGAATGATTACTATTGGGCTGGTCTTTGCTTCTATGTCTTCCCGGTAGAAAGTTAGGAAATATGTATGAAAATAATCAGGAGTGTATACTGATATTTCCAATTCAAATTCAGGACAAGGCTTCCACTTCTTGGATTTTATATTTGTGTCTGTTTTCTTTTACGTTGAAAATCCTGGTTCCTAATGACATTGACATTAATTATATATTCACTTTGTGTGTGCACATATGTATGTAGTCTCCTGTACTATAGCAATGATAGGGTTGGAGTGGTCCTGGGTTCAATCCTCAGCACCAAAACCAATAATAATAATAATAATATTAAGAACACTAAACTTGGGAGGCTGAGGCAGGAGGATCACTGTGAGTTCGAGACCAGCCTGGGCTACATAGTGAGTTCCAGGTCAGTCTCAACTACGTAGTAAGACCCTGCCTCAAAAAACCAAAAAAAAAAAAAAAAAAAAAAAAAAAAAAAAAAAAAAAAAAACACTGGTAATTAAAAAACAATTTAAGATTTTTTTGACAGTTTAATTTGTTACAAGGACATATCCCACTGAGGAGGGATAGCCATATTCCTGCAGTGTTAAGCAACTTGAGCTCATTCAGAGGTATTATGTTAACAACATAATCAAATGATTAAATTGGTTTGTTGCATTTCATTTCCTTATTTTATTGTGTGTTGAGGTTATGAAAACATTTATATGGTTCCAAAGTTTTTTTTAAAAAATGCCCTACTTTCCTAGCACAAGTATTTGCTGACTTTTATGACATAAGTATATTATTGTTCTATGTTAATTCATCCTGTGGTGGGCAGTTTCCACCAAGAAAACCTAAGGCATGTTAAAGAACATGATTTGCCTTAAGGTTCAGCTTGACTGAGTGCTTTTAGGATGATTTGCAAGGGAAAGGTCAAAAGGCAGCTTTCAGGATCTCAAATCTAAGTGTCTCTGTGTCACCCAGGAAATTTCATCCTAAACTGGTGAGCACTGGGTAGCGGGGGCAGAAGGGGATGGAGAAGGCAGAGTGCCTTGTCTCCAATTCCACCCAAGACAAGAAGCCCTCCTTTTTTAAGATTTTCTCTTCCTCCAGTCCCTGCCTTATACAATTCTTTATCTCCCTGCCCCCCCCACATGAGTCCTTGGTGAATGTTCTAGCACATAGGACTTCACTACAGCCCACAGGTAACTGTCACCACCTGATACAACATCCTGAATCAGACCTCACTTTCCAGGTTAATGCCTGTGGCTATGAAGCTTCTGCAAAACAAGATGGCAGAGAAAATAGCCTAGCCATTATAAAATATATCTACTTGTTTCTTCACTACGAAGTTACTGTGTTAAATTTTGTAATGAATAAATATCTTGTAGGGAGATATTTTGAGCTTATACAAATATCTTGTTTCTGATAAAACTTTCACCCACTAATTTTGGCCTCCATCGATAATCCTTACCTGCAATGGTGACTTGTGGGAAGGGTGAATCTGAATCATTTGTAGGAGAATGGATGCACCTTGAAACCATATGCTAAGTGAAATAAATCTGACACAGACAGTTAAATATCACATAGTTTCTCTGAAAAAGGAGAAGGGGTAACAAAAAGGATCAAGTTTGCATATGTATGTGTACCAATTCCCCAGGATGAATGCATCTATTTTGTATTGCAAACATATACACTAATAAAAAAACGAAAATTTATTTTCTTCCTTTCTTTCTTAAAACAGGGTCTTGCTATGTAGTCTGGGCTACCCTGGAATTTGATATGTACCCCAAGTTGGCCTTGAGCTCATGTACTTCCTGCTTCAGCCTCCTGAGTGCTGGGATCACAGGCACCTCTACATTAATTAACTAAAATTCTACTATTAGGCAAAGTTCCTTCTTTCCCATTTATTAATTTCCCATCAATCAACTATGTACTTGCAAAGGAATTGTGGCTATTTGTTTTCATCTATATGTTGTAATCCACTCCTACCAGCATTTTCTTCAAATAATACAGCATTGGAGAAGAGAGGAAAAGATAATGCGAACTCTGAAGGAAATAGGAATGGAAGATCTCAGAAGCAGATATTGCCCCTTGCGCTGAGATACAGTCTTCAAAAGAAGGGTTCTCTGGGACTAAGAGATTGGTCCTGTTGGAGAGGGCATGGTTCCCCGATAATGGAGCAATTTTTACTAAGCTGCCATTTTTGCTGCATTAGGGGAAGGGGACACCTCAGCCAAAGCATGTGACAGCCATTGTGAGACTTTTCTGCACTCACTTCTCTATTGCGTTAACCTTGAAGGTCACATATTGAAATATTAGCACACCTTCTATCCTGTGTTCCTGAGTGACATCATGGAGAGTACCTGGCCAATCTGTGTCGAACACATAACCAGAGTGGAAAATTAACTTCTGTTGTTACTGTATCACAATCTCCTCGCCCATCCGAATCATTTTGTCTTAAATCTTTATAGCGTTTGGGGAACGATGTCACACAAAAGATGTGATACAGTATTCTGCTTTCTCCAAGTACTATATAAGCACAAAACAACTCATCTCTCATCTGCTGTTGTCTACAACTAAACAAAGCAAAAGCTAACAAAAACTCAAAGACAAGCATTTGTTCCTCTACAGTCAACTCTCAACATTTAGTTTGGAGAATTGATTTTTTTTTTTAATCTTCACTCAAGTACACAGGGCAGCATTTTACAACTGGTATGTGATTCTTATTTTTTTGTACGGGGGATGGAACTCTGGCCCTTGTTACGTGATCTTTTAAAAGGCAAGTTTGGTGGCAAAAGCATGTATAGAAACCAGATGTGTGTCTTTTGGCCCAGAGCATGTTGCTAGTCTTCATCGTTTTGTGTACTGAGCCAAGGCTATAAAGTTGCGCCTGCGGCGGGACTAGGGTAATCGAAGCTGTCCTGGACCGCTCCTGAGCTAGCCAGAGGTGCACAGGGCCAGAAGGCCCCGCCTCCGGCGCCCCACTTTCCCAAGCAAGCATCCTCAGGTTCCCGCCTCCTCACCAGCCAGCCGCGTGATCGCCTTGGAGCGCGCAACCCCGCCCTCTCTGGCATTTATACTCAATGGAGAGCCGCTGGCATCTCAGGTGGGCGGGGAAACCCCCAGGCGCCGTTCTGATTGGCCCGCTGACCTGTGCTGCGGCTTGACGTTATTCCGACTCCGCACGTCGAGCGGCGGTTAAGGCGTGGCATCGTCTGCTCCGGGCGCTTGAAGGAGACTCGGGGACTGCCTAGCTGTTCTTGAGTCCTTCGGTGTCTCCGCTGTCTTTACTTCCTTCGCTCCATGAGAAAGATGCTTGCCGCCGTCTCCCGCGTGTTGTCTGGCGCTGCCCAGAAGCCGGTGAGGCTGCCAGAGCGAGCAGGCCAGGGTGGGGCGCGTTAAGGCGTGGCATCGTCTGCTCCGGGCGCTTGAAGGAGACTCGGGGACTGCCTAGCTGTTCTTGAGTCCTTCGGTGTCTCCGCTGTCTTTACTTCCTTCGCTCCATGAGAAAGATGCTTGCCGCCGTCTCCCGCGTGTTGTCTGGCGCTGCCCAGAAGCCGGTGAGGCTGCCAGAGCGAGCAGGCCAGGGTGGGGCGCGGGGCGCGACCCGGGCACAGTGCAGTTCCACTCCTGGCCCGGGAAGAGCATAAGGAAGCAGGCGCCAGGCATGTGGCTCTGGCCAGGGAGGACAGTGATTATACTGCAGCCCTAGCTCCGCACTAGGCAAGCACGAGTGCTCCGTAATTGCCCTTGGGTTTAGAGGATTTAGGAGTAGGGAGTGCTTGGGCGTCTTCCGGTCTCCAGCTGACTCCTGTTCAGATCTTCCTAATTTCAGTACTCTTGTCCGAGAAGATGTGTAGTACTTAGCAATAAAGAGGTCGGAATCCACAGACCGATTTGCCCTGTGCAAACCGGGCTCACCGTTTACTAGCCCTGTGACCTTAGGCGTCTCCCCCTTTAAAAATGTCCTCGTACCCTATCATCTCAAAAGTGGAGAATAACAAGTGTACCGTATTTAAATGCTATCCTCGTAGGATTATCGTCAGGATTCAATGAGTGACACGTGTCAATCTTCCTGAACCGTGCCTGGCTCTTGGTTACCATTTGTGATGTAAATGTCCTGCAGTTGCGAGCCCAAGTTACCATTTGTTTTGAATAGCATTATTTTTACTATTTTACGGAGTGCCTAGTTTGATATATTTTTATTGAACATTTGTGCTGGGCTCCCAGGAGAGTTCAGACAGGGTCAGGCTCGTGAAAAACTTCCCTCCCTCTCTTTCAACATCCGAGCCTTTCTTGGCAGTCAATTCAAGAGCAATCAAGCAGAACCCAGAGGAAACTGCCTTCACTCTTAAACACACAGAGGCTTGGGGTAAAAGCACCTATAGAAAACAGCGTGAAGGGTGAAAGTTAGAGGTTAAGGCTATTCATGGCCCTTGCTTTTAGACGTATGTAATACCTATGCTTCTAGCATTTTGACTTCCAGGCACCGCAGAATAGCGTTTTGTTTTTTGTTTTTTTCCAAAACTGCCTCCAACTTTGACTTGTAATTCGGGTTCGCTTAATTTTCCCAGGACTTGCTCCAAGTCTTGCTTAGTGTGGGGCAGAGAGATTGTCAGTTTATAGGAAGTGTACTACTATAGGAATCTCTTTGATTAGTGACAAAGCACAATTTAGCTAATCAGATGCTGTATCAACATTTGAATTTAACTGGAAGCATACTTCTGTATTTATGCATGTGTGCATGATATATTCAACATTTATTGAGGGTTTTTTGTGTGTGTGATACTCAGTTTCAAACCCCGATGCACTTGACCACTGAGATACAACCCCAGCCCTTTTTATTTTGAGACAGGGTTTCACTAAATTGCTCAGGTTAGCCTTGAATTTGTCATCTTCAGCTTTAGACTCCTGAGTAGTTCAGATTATGAATGTAACATTGTATTGGGCTGATACTTCATCTGCTTTGTATCTAATTTAAACCGCATCAATTTTTAGTCAAACGTGAGTTAATAGAGACACATTTTCAACATTACACGGTGCATTAGTTATGGGCAGAAATAAGTTAGCTAAAGATAGAGTTTGCTTGGACAAGGAATACAGTAGAATTAAAAATAAAAGCTTTGTTGAGGCTTCAACAATGGAAAGGAAACTTTAGTAATGGAAAGAAAGAATTTGAAAGGTACTAACTGAAATCAAACTTGGAAGATTTCAGTAAATGGAATTGGAATTTGCAACTACTAAAAACATGTCAAATTTTGTACCTTTCTACCAGGGTTTTTGCTTTTAAGAGATGTCATCCCCTTTGGGAATAATGGTTGGTAGAAGGCAAATACATCTTTAAATCTTTATTGTTAGAGTTTTTTGGTGGAGGGCATATTGGGGATCAAATCTCAGGCCATGCTGTGTAACTGCTCTACCATTTAGCTTCATCCCTAGCCCCTGTCAATGACTCGATGTATGTTTGTTATTTCTTCTGAAAGTCAGATTTATCATTTCCCATATTTGTAGGATTCTTTTTCCACACCTTACAGCAGGAATAAAATTGAATTTCAGAGATGAAATTACCTTAGAAAGCGCCCAGTTTTCTTCTCACTTTGTAGTGTAAACTCTTCAGATAATTAGGAGTTTTATTTGTGAGTGTAATGTTATCTTTTTAAATTGTGAAATAAAAGAATAACGTCAACTGTATTTTGTATAAATATGAAAAAAAAATTAAAGTATAACAAAATAGATCAAGGTTTTAATTTTTATATTGTACATGTAAAAAGATATTTTAAAATATAAGCTTTTTCAAAAAAATTCTAAGAAATAATTAACAGTGGCTCAAAACTTCTGTACTTGTAGTCATACCATCTGCTTGATACTCAATGCAGGGAGAAAGGTTAGGCCATTAGTTTGATGGCTATGACAGTTCTGCCTAAAATTATTCCCCTCATCTTCCCTTCCAGGACTCTGCATGGCGTTTTCCTTTTGCATTTTTTTTATTCTCTTATTTCGGAGGGATGGAGATTTGGAGATCTGTCTCTCCAGCTTGAATTACCATTATCTCATCACAAAATGTTTGAAATGAAACTTTGGAATGAATTATAAGATTTTGATTTCATTTTTGAATGAGATTGATAGTTTTTGAGGTGCTTCATGAAAGAATGAATTGCATTTGAAAATTTTCTTGTTTGTATTTCTGTTACAGTTCCTTTTGTGACATCTTTTCTACCATCATTCTTTTGGCTATTTGAGTAGTAGTTAAGGTTTTTAATTTACAGTGGCAGAATCTGGAATTTTAAAAATATTTTTCCTCCTTGAATGATTCCTGTGTATTTAAGAAGTTAATGTTTTTATTTCATTGAGTAAGTTGTTCATGGTCTCTGTCAAAAAGGAATCTCATTTAGGGGCTGGGGGCAAAGCACAGTAGTAGAGCATGTGTGTAGTGTTTGTAAGGCCCTGGGTTCAAGCCCCAGCAACAACAAACACAACGTGCGGGGGGCACTCCTATTTAAAAGACTCAGTGACTCTCCAAAGAAAATGAATGATGAAGTTATTTTTTCAGCAGTTCCAGTTAAAATGATGATATACTTCTGATAGGACTTATAACTTTTTTTCTTTCACTCATTATATAAGTGGTTATGCTTATTTTTGAGATTCATACTGTTGAAACTAGATGAGAAAATAAACTATCTGGAAGTCCTAATTTTTGCCTTTCCTGTTTTTTATTAAATAGCAGTGCCTGTCCTGCTTCACTGTTTTGTCTTTATGATTGAGCATTTACCTTTTCTCTGTTACTATTGCCTAGCTAATTTGGTCTCTGCTTTTACATCATTCCAAAAACTAGTTTCTCTAGTTATATGTGGAAATTTATTTCACAATATAACAGATATTTCTGGCTCTGCGAAATAATTTTAACTGCCAAAAAAAATCAGTTTCATGATTGCCAGACATAACCATTTGTTTGCTACTTCCTTCTCAGATTTACTTCTTCCTATTTTCCTAAATTTTCTTTATTCTGAGACATATTAGTGGACCCTACCTCTAAAGAAGGTATTTATCTTTAGTACTTAGGATTTTTCCCCCCTTTGGCAGTATCAATGTCTTTTTGTTGGCTTTATCAGGTAACAGTACAGCAGTCTCCTTATCGGAGGTTTTGCTTTCCTTGGTTTCAGTTGCCTGTGGTCCACTATGGTCTGAAAATACTAAATGGAAAATTCCAGAAGTAAACAGTTTATCAACTTCATCTGCCATTCTGAGTAGTATGTTGAAATCTTACAGTGTCTACTTTAGAGTGTGAATCATCCCTTTGTCTAGGTCTCACTCTGTTTATGCTACCTTCCTGTTAGTCACAGAGGCGCCTTTTTGGTTATCACATCAACCAAGTAACCATTTCATAAGTATAAATCAAACATGCTCTTTATGGGATTTGATGAATATGCTTCAAGTCTTCTTAAGATGTGCAGGGTGTGCAAATACGGCAGAAAATGGCTACAGTAGTACAGCAGTGCTAATTTTAAATCTTTGGGGTCTAACCTGAATCTTAGCCATCACATAGAATACTTTCATCGTGACCAGGTCTATTCAGTTGTAAGAATGTAGAGAAATTATTATTTCCAAGTGGTGATAGCTACCCAAGAAGGGAACACTTTTAGACAGCAACTTTCCCTTCTGAGGTTTTGGGAGGTGCCTTCCCAAGGTGTAGGCTGTTCATACTGTAAAACAGCTGGCTTAGTTCCATTATTTTTAAGTCAGAGTGTTAAATAGCTGTTTCCATCTTGTATGATTTTCACTAATGTATTTATCTCTTACTTTGAGTAGTTCAAAGTATTTTTCTTTACAAGTCTTTGTATAGAAAAGTGAAGTTTACTTGGAATAGAAATTAACTTAGAGTTTTATTTGAAGTATAATTTTGGAAATGAACTTTTACATTGCTCAAATGAAGAGTATCATGACTAAGAATAGCATAAATAAAGCCTACAGATTATTTAATCTCTTCAATTTGACCACTAATTTCATTATAATCTCACTATAATTTCTTTGAAATAAAGAGACCAAGTGTATGGCTTTGGAATCTATTCTCTTTGCTTTCTGATAGGGATATGATCATGCTTCATTGGTTAAAGCATGGATTTATTTTAGAAGGCAAAGAAGATACCAGCATAGTGAACAGAAGAGTCTATGAACACGTTGGGGCTTATTAGTTTGTTTTGTTTTGTTTTGTTTTTTTGGTATCTGGGATCGAACTTGGGAACTTGCGCTTTTTTGAGGCAGGTAGCAGAGCCACTGAGCTAAATCCCCGGTCATAGGGTCTTATTAGTTTCATGACTGCCTCTTGCTAACTGATTAATGAAGATAATTTTCTAAAATAAGTGACAGTAAAAAATTACTGATGTATTTTTGTGTTTTTTTTTTTGTTTTGTTTTTGTTTTTAGGCAAGCAGAGTGCTGGTGGCATCCCGTAATTTTGCAAATGATGCTACATTTGAAATTAAGGTAAAAAGTGTTTTACTTTGTGTTGTATTTCCATAGTTAAGCTTTGGCACAGTTTTACATTTAGAATGAAACATTAATATTCATACTAATTTTGTTATTTTCTTCCAAATTTTCCAGAATCAGAAGTTCAAAGAAGTTTAGAAAAAAAAAAAAGTTTATTTTTAGTAGTTTGCTGGTGGTTGAGGGAGGGGGCTTAAAAATAATGGAAACTTACTTCAAAGTTTAGGATGTGATTTAGTGAAACATTTCAATAAGATTTTTAGATGTCTCTTTGAAAATTCATCTTTCAGTCTGTAACTCAGTTGATTTCAAGGGTTTTCAGTGAAAATGAGATCTGAGATCACCCCACCCCATCCCATTGTATAGTGAGGTTTATAGATTTAAGGAATCAGGAGTGATATGACATTGCTGATGTGCTCCTTTGCTGTTTTTCAAGTTGAATATCATTTGTGAGGGAGTCAGATCATAGAATGAGTTAACAGTGTTTGCCATTCGGTGGCTAAGAGGGTGACCACCTTCATTTCAGAAATGCGATCTTCACCGGCTGGAAGAGGGCCCACCTGTCACCACAGTGCTCACCAGGGAGGATGGACTCAAATACTACAGGATGATGCAGACTGTGCGCCGAATGGAGTTAAAGGCAGACCAACTATATAAGCAAAAAATTATTCGTGGTTTCTGTCACTTGTGTGATGGTCAGGTAAGTGGTAGCTTTGTAATTAACGGTATTACTTAGGTGTTTAAAGATAGCTTCTGTTCATTGGTTTTTTACTCTTTCAGATTTGAGGCTGGTATTTTATAATAAAAACTAGAATGCTAAAACCCACTATTGAAGTTTATGCTAAAGCATTCATTCACACATAACATCCCGTACCTGTTCTTAGATTGAATTTAATTATTTTAAAACTTTCTGGCATTGAATTAATCTGTATACCTTCTTTGGAGAAAGGGTTATTTTGTTGGTTTGTCACTTTGTGGGTTTAGGTCAAAGGTTACAAATTCAAATGTGTTCAAGGCCCATCTAGGTATAATGAATGAATGAAGAAAACTGGGTATGTAAAACATGGAAAATGGTGACAGCAACCAGTGGAAAACTGGGATGGATGCATCCTACCAGAAGGGGGCCCTGACTTGGTTCTAGCCAGTTTGTACTAGACGGAAATAATGGGCTAAAGCTTCCTATTAATTTTTCCAAGAACAGACAGAAGACTCACTTTTCATATATTCCCTCAATGTTTTAAAATAGATACCTGACTCAGGATCTTTTTTTTTCTCTTTTGGTGGTGGTGTTAGGGATCAAACTCAGGGACACTTTACCACTGAGCTACATCCTCAGCCATTTTATTTTGAGACAGTTGCATAGGTGAGACTCAAACTCATAGTCCTCCTGCCTTAATGCTCCACTGTGCCCAGCTCTTGTTTTGATTTTTTTTTTCTTTTTTTGGTGCCGGGGATTGAACTCGGGACCTTGCCCTTTGAGAGGCAGGCACGGCACCACTGAGCTAAATTCCCAGCTTTGTTTTGTTTTTTAATCACTGTACAGGCCAAAGTAAACAGCACATCTGCGGGCTATTAGTTTATGGCTTCTGGTTTGAGCTTGGCCCTTCACTCTGCTTTTGATGAAAAATAGCCACTTTCTGTGGTTATTTTGACTAGTTCTACTCACTCACATTTGTAGAAATCAGCCCGTGAGCTGAGCTCAGACTTGGCCAAGGGGTGATGCATATGAAAAAGAGACAGAAACAGATTAAAATCTGGGGGGCGGGGTCAGGGATTTAGCTCAGTGATGCCATGCCTGCCTGGCAAGCACAAGGTCCTAAGTTCAAGCCCTAGTAAAAATTTAAAAAAAAAAAAATCTGGGGGACCAGGGAGCTCATGTCTCCCTTTGACATAGAGCCCCTAATGACTGGTGCACATTGGCTTTATTCACTCAGACACTGGCAGGAGCAATTAGAGTTCCACAGGATTCATCTGTCTCCCACCCTCCGTGGTACTTCTCGGGGTGAACAACTTAACCTCAGGTGTTTTTACTTTTCCCTGCAGCATGTTAGCATGCTTCTATACCGTCTTTCTCCTCAATGCCCACTGAAGAGCCCAATTAGGCCTCATTCTTCCCCTCTGATCTCCACACAGGTTTCATAACAATGCTTCATGGTATTTGGTCTAATAGAAACCTTTTTATCCAGAAATGTGAATTATGTTACCTTATGGTTTCTTCCACCTTTAATGCAGGAAGCCTGCTGTGTGGGACTGGAAGCCGGCATAAATCCTACAGACCATCTGATCACAGCCTACCGGGCTCATGGCTTTACCTTCACTCGGGGCCTTTCCGTCCGGGAGATTCTAGCAGAGCTAACAGGTTTGCTATGGATTTACAAAAGGTGGGAGTAAGTTGATTGTGTTTTCAAACATCTCCCAATAAGATGCTGACTGTTCAGAGTGTTAAAATCTATTTTGAGTTTAATATTAAAAAGAAAACCCTCTGATTTAGTGCTCTGGTACCTCTATTAGGCCAAGTAAATTGACCATTTTGTAAGGTCATCTGGCCCTCAGGTAAAAATTTTAAAAAGGTTAGTGCTATACTGTACAGTGAGAATACAGTTTGTTCTCACTGTAGCATGCCAACAGAAAACCGGCAGTCATAAAGTAAATTGGGTTGAAGCACTCCACAGTATACAGTATAGGTTCAAGGAATCTTTAATATTGTCTCCCTTGACTCTTAAATTATTTAGGGCATGGGATTAATCTGTCTTTCCTTATTGAAGCACAGGGAGCGAAGGAGGAACCTAGGTTTTTATGGAGGAACAGATGTTTAAATGATTGGCCGCAAGAGACATGGGGTGTGGTTTTGTTTGCTTTGTATATTTGGTTTTTCATGCATGCACGATGTACTGTCATTCCTAGGACGAAGAGGAGGTTGTGCTAAAGGGAAAGGAGGATCTATGCACATGTATGCCAAGAACTTCTACGGAGGCAATGGTATCGTCGGAGCTCAGGTAGCCAAGTACGAGGATCATATGCTTCCATAGATTTGATCCTGGCCCAGGATTTCAGTACTGTAGGAACTTGGTTTGCTTTTAAAGACCTATTGCTTCTTACTCTATCATATGAGCAATTAATAAGTAGATTTGGATAGTGATTAAAAATTTATTTTTCAGGTATTTGTTTTATAAGTAAGCAAAAGCCTCTAGTAGTGGAACTATCTTTTCGCCTTTCTATATTTCAGTATGTTAATTGCTTCATCACATCAATGTTGTCCTCTGCATGCTCCTAGGCAATGTTAACACGGGCCAAACTAGGGGGGCGGTTAGAATCTCGGGCCAATTAACAGCAAATAATTATTTCAAACAGAGTAAGATTCTATTAAATATGTTTTAAATCTGGGTTTTCTTTTTTGACTCTAGGATTTAGTTGAATCTTTGGGTACAGAAATGTCATGGCCAGCTGGTCAAAACAGTATTTATTCACGTTACTTTACTGGTTGGTTGAAAATACTGGAGTGGGCCAGGGATTTAGCTCAGTGATTTTGCTGCCTGCCTCGCAAATGCAAGGTCCCAAGTTCGATCCCTGGTACCCAAAAAAAGAAAATACTGGGATGAGTGAGCAAAGACAGGGTTAGAGTAGGAAGAGTTTGTAGCAAAAGTATAATTCTGTCTCAAATTCTGTCCAGGAGTTAAAATTCAGAGTATTTCTCCCTTGATGGATTTCTGTGGTTCCTTTCTCCATCATCCTTAACGTTAGGTGCCCCTGGGAGCTGGGATTGCTCTGGCCTGCAAGTACAATGGAAAAGACGAGGTTTGTTTGACACTATATGGTGATGGTGCTGCTAATCAGGTAAGTTTGTATCTCTTCACTTGCCAGTGATTTTATTTTCAAAGCTTGAAATTTTATAGTTCCTTGTAAAGAAATAGTGTTGTTTATTAGCTGAAGTAGCATTTCATATAGCGAGGGCATATTTGGTTTTAAGGCCATTTTGGAAATTTACCTCTTGGCCTATTTCACCAGAGCCTTACGGGGTGCATGCCTATGAGGAAGTTCTTTTTCACCGTATATTAGTGCCTTGCAAGTGTTCTGTGGTGAAGGACATAAATTTTTTTTCATTTAAATGTCTAACCCATTGCAAACTAGTATGGTAATATAGAGGTTAATTCTCTGGGATGCCACAGAAATATCAAATTCCTATACTGGTGTCTGAGCCCGACCCTTCATTTCTTTGCTCAGTTTATATAATCAGTTCATGGAAGGTACCCAGTGAGGCCATGTTCTAGATGCTCATTCTCAGATGCTGGTTCATTCTGATTATCCAGTGGATCTGATAAGATTATAATAAATTATAAAACACATTTTTACATTTTGATGTTTTTCTTCCAGTGTACTCTGTGGGTCCCCAAAGAAACAAGTCATGGTATTTGTCACTTCCCTTAGTTCCAAAAGTATGATGCCTGTTGCTTCTCCCTACTGCCCCCAACAAACATGTCCCTTTCTTTCCCTTGCTTGAGAAGGTGAGAGGATGAGGCTTTTTACCTTTCAGACAGTTGCAGTAACCTTAGGCAGAACAACTGTCAGGTATGATGATGATGAAGTCCAGAAAAATAAGCAAAATGAAACCACTTGAACTTTTTGCAAATACTTTCAGGGTCAGATATTTGAAGCTTACAATATGGCAGCATTGTGGAAATTACCTTGTATTTTCATCTGTGAGAATAACCGTTATGGAATGGGAACATCTGTTGAGCGAGCTGCGGCCAGCACAGATTACTATAAGAGAGGCGATTTTATTCCTGGGCTGAGGGTAAGAATACCTGTTACAGACCCAGAGCCATACCCTGCTAGCTAGATGACCTTGTGCATACTTTTGACAGTCTTAGAAAAATTGAAATGTTTCACTTCCTTCTACATAAATGGGTCATTTCAAAATAAAATGGGAAAGCTGGGGGCGTGGCTTAGTGGGTGAGCACTTGGCTAGCCTGCATGCATCACCCCGCCAAAAAAAATGTAGAATGGGTTTGGGCAATTTGTGTTTCTGCTCCTTTCACCTTTATTAATAGGTAGATGGAATGGATATCCTGTGTGTCCGAGAAGCAACAAGGTTTGCAGCTGCCCATTGTAGATCTGGGAAGGTAAGACTCTACAGTTTTTTTTTTTTTTTGGTACCAGAGATCAAACTCAGGTCCTTGTGCTTGTGAGGCAGGCGGTGGAAACACTGAGCTAAATCCCTGGCCCTACAGAGACATTTTTTTGGACCTCTGGGCTAGTATATGGAAATGAGGGAGAGGGGAACAGTGAGATTGACCTAAAGTATATCTTCAGCTTTGGTAGAAACTTAGTAGTAGTTCTAAGTCATTGTTCCACAGCTCAGAAATCATGCCCATGTGGTTTACCTAACAGTGACATGCCATATGTGTGTTTGGGCAGTAATGCAAATGAGCTGTGGTTAACAGTGATGAAAATATCAGGAAGGAGGGAAATGAAGCCAGGAGGAAGATGTAGTGTTACATGAGATGATGAGAAAGATAAACTAGAGCAGGACTAAGGTTGGCTACAGTGGGCTGAGCAGTCTCTATTAGGTCCATAAGACTAAGGCAAGACAGAATGAGATAAGGGGATAGATATCTTGCAGATAGGAAGGGGTTCAGGGGACTGGGGAGAGGGGTAGATAGGGAAATAGGTAGAGTGAAGATGCACTATGTTCAAGGTCCTAATAACCTCAGTGAACGTGGATATTATATGCTATAAACATGAACTAAGAAGGGGCAAAAGGGAACTAGAGGTAAGGATGGGGTATGGGGAGGGAAGGGGATTTTTAAAAAAGGTATGTACATGTACCAACTCAAAGATGATTATAAAATGCATGTACAAGTGAAAAAAAGGGGACTAGACCATGGGGGCTGGGTATTGTCACTATTTATCCCAGTTTTTGGAAAGGACACGTTGTTTAACCTTGGACAGAAACAGCTTATAGGATAGGATGTGATGACTAAATCGTGATCTTGGAACTGAGGGAAGGTCTGGAATCCTCCTTGTCACCCGGCCCTACCCGCTGTGATTCCAGATGGCTACACTGAGAGTGTAACCAAGGATTAATATATGTTGGGTAGTGTACTTTTTAGGTGTTTTTTAATTTTTACAATTCTGACTTGGGTATTACTGTTTTTCCTGTTTTACTGACTGAGGCACAGCAGTTCATGACTACCATATCTTAGAGCCAGGATTAGAACCCTCAACACTTGGACTGAGCCAGATCCCCACCCCCACACTTTATTGCACCCAGACTCCTCTGTACATCCCCTCCCTTCAGGATACCCTCTGAAAGTAGGCTAATGTGGCATAAACAAGCCACTTGTTGTTGCACAGCTGGGCTGGCCAGATTCACAGCAGAGTTGTTAGGATTGAGGTATCAGAGATCATTGGTGTCTGCTGGCTTTACACACCAGCAAGGTCCAGATGAAGTGAGATTGGCTGCCAGCCCCTATGAAACGGGGCAGATTTACTTAGGTAGAAATGGGAATTTGCCTAACCAGTATCAGTGGGCTCTGTAATGTGTTGTGTTTTTTTTGATTGAAAACAAACTGTTGGCAGATTGCTTTACTAATTTCCTATTAAAATTGAGTTGAATGAGCTGTAATCCTATTTAGGAGACTGAAGGCAGGAGAATCAAAAGTTAAAGGTCAGCCTCGTGTACTTAGTAAGATCCTGTCTCAAAACAATAAAAAGGGCCAAGGATGCAGTTCTCATAGAATATGTGAAGCCCTGGGTTCAATCCCCAGTACCACACACACAAAAAAGGCTGAAATGGGCAATAAAGTGGGTGTTAAAACATTCCTGACAACTCAGCTGATTTATAGATGATCTGATCAGAATATATTGGATGCTGCAAGGGTCTTCCTTTTGAGGTGGGGGACTGTTGGCATGCTCTTCCATCATCTTACTGTCCCCTTATGGGTCCTGTTTTAGGGGCCCATCCTGATGGAGCTGCAGACTTACCGTTACCATGGACATAGTATGAGTGATCCTGGAGTCAGGTACCATCATGGGGTGTATGTCCCAAAGTGGGTGGGCTTTGAATGGTGTTTCTCACATGAAAAGGTAAAACATTTCAGCATTTGCTTTCGTAATCATTTCATTCATCAAGTGTTGCTGGCACCAAGTGGTTGAGTTATTCAGTCTGAAAGCAGTGCTCCTAATAAATTGCTTCCAATATAGAAAGCATTCTGAAGATTCCTACAGTATGTAGTATGTGTTAGCTGAGAAGTTATTTTTTAAAAAACGTTGTGTGTGTGTGTGTGTATATATATATATATTATATAACTAAATTGCACAGGGAAATTGTTACATAAAACAGATCTACTGGGAAAGTAGCATTTGAGAGGCGGGGTTAATGTAGCCATTACCACAATTTACACATGGCAGACTCTGCCCAAAGATTAGAAAATGTTCTGGCTGGTAGGGAACAAGGCTCACTGGCTTATTGAGTGTTCAGTAGGTAGATATGTGGTAATCAAAATAGGTGGTTTACATAGGAAGATACGAGTTTTCCTTTTTCACACCGAAGCCCTAGCATGTAGTTTTGCAATTGCAGCTTCAACACAACTGAAAAGTTAACTTAAACAAGCCTTTGTAGAATGTATTTCTAAGGGAATATATAGAGAGCAGTTTTTAAAAATAGAGCCCTTTTAGTGTTATTTCAAATATGATGTAGGAAAAGGATATACAGTATTATAGTCTAGAATTGGAAATCCTGATAAGCAAGTTTCTGCTATCCATGCTTCTTTGGGGTCTTCAGGGAGAAAGACAAGGCACATACATTTTCTGTTTGCTTGGTATTCTGATGTCTCTAAGTCTATAATTATCACTGCTGCCCCTACCCATGTAAAATATAGTCCAAAGAGGTGTGGGACATGTGATACTTCCTTCATACATTGCTGCTAGATCAAGGAAGCAAACCAACAGTTGGCCTCTGTTGTCAAATGCAAGAGAAGCCCTGTGAGTTAGTGTACAATTTTCTATAAAAGATAAAATCAGCATTTACAAGCTATTAGCTGCCTTCTTGTGTTCTTAAAGTTTGCTTGTGCTCTTTCCACAAGTAACATTGGTACCGACATGCCCCTTCCTTTCCAAAACATACTGCTGTATTTCACTAAGCTGTCTGCTTCACCAAACCGTTCTTACCTATCACTGTTTCCCATAGTTATCGTACACGAGAAGAAATTCAAGAAGTAAGAAGTAAGAGTGACCCTATTATGCTTCTCAAGGATAGGATGGTGAACAGCAATCTTGCCAGTGTTGAAGAATTAAAGGTACAGTCAGTCACTCTTGGTGGTTTTAAGTCTGGCTTTAAAGGTTGGCTCTTCTTTCTCCGAACACTTCCCCCACCCCAAAGTTGCCAGTCATGAGTGAGTTTGTCCGAACCAAGAAAGTGATGTGAAATCTCAGGGTTATTCTTCAGATTTGATGAGGACTGAACTGCCTAATAGGAAAGTATGTGTTATCACAAGGCATCATATTGGCAAAAAAGCCTTTAAACCTTCCCCTAATTGCAGCTTTTTCCTTAATTCATAGCCAGCCCCTAGGTTAGCTACCTGTGTAATTTTATCACTTAAATTCTTCAAAATTGCTAACTGTTGGCACTTTTAGTACTAGAAGAATTATATTTATACCAGCAACAGGTTCTGATTAGAACTCTAGTTGGCACTTAAATTGCTGTTTATTCAGAAATATCTTGTGCTGTAATCTAATGTTTAGGAAATTGACGTTGAAGTGAGAAAAGAAATCGAGGATGCTGCCCAGTTTGCCACAGCTGATCCTGAGCCACCTCTGGAAGAACTAGGCTATCACATCTACAGTAGTGACCCACCCTTTGAAGTGCGTGGTGCCAACCAGTGGATCAAATTCAAGTCAGTCAGTTAATAGGAAACCACGTGTAATGGATGGGCTATTCATCAGCAACTGTAAGGAACTCTGTTTTCAAATTTAAGGAATAATATCAAAAAACTGCAGTATAAGTCTGGGAAACTTTTAAAAGAATAAATAACATGTAAATTATATTACTGACAGAGTAATTGCATTGCAGGTCATACATTAGTGCTTTGTGTGAATATAAAGATTTGTATGGTTTAAAACAGGCACAAGTATATAATCTTCCCCCAAATTATTTCCTAAAATAGTTTCATTTGTGTAAACACAAGAACAATTCTTTGTATGCCTATTCCACCCCAGCCACTCTTTGGGTGGAGATCACTGGCCTTGAGGAATCATTGCTTTGTTCTCAAAGGTTCACAGGGTTCACAGGTAGTGGGGGGCAGAAGACTGTTCATACTGATTGTTTCCTCCAGTATTTATTATTATTGTAAGATTTCACAACATTTCAAAGGCCAATATCTTAGTTTTCTCCATTTATACATTCAACATGAAGTTATCTTAAGTTACATTCCTATTAGACAATGTAAGGCACGTTCATACCCATTTTGTCTTTCACATTTAAGTGCTACACTAGTAAATAAGACATATCCTAAACTGGAGGGTACACAGCTTATTTTAAACACCTATTGTTTTTACTTTCCATTAGGTACAATAAGATGGGGTGACTTTTCCATGGAAGTAAAATTTATTTCTAAGAACAAGAACGTCTAACATGCTGGGATATCTAAATTAAGATTCACTATCGTATTACATATACGTCTATAAATCTTTAAAATATGTTTATAAATAGACTAAAAACTTCCAGTAAAGACACTCTAAAACTTCAAGTTCTTGAATTAAACAGGTCAAGTGTTTTGTAAACTCGGCAGAATTTGCATGTATGTAGATTGAAGCTTTAAGTATAAACATACACGTCAACTATTTGTGCGCTCTGTCCTTGGGTGTAGCTGCAGTCCCTGAGGACTTCTGAACTTGTCTTCTGTAACGAGAAATCGCTTGCCAGAGCCTACAGAGGGCACCACCACTGTGAAACAAATAAGAGTTGTTAACTAAAAATCTCAAATATTTTGTCCTTACGGCAAAAAGGAAAGTATATAACTCTAGAGTTAACATTTGCTATCTAGTCTCAAAAATGCAGTCCCTAACTTAGGCACTTCACAAAAACATTCACTTATAAATGTAATACTTGTGCCCCAGCACTGGTAGGATGTGGCATTAGAAATGTGTGCAGAAGTGCTGATGGATCTGTGTAAGGCTATCTAAAATGATATGGGAATAAGAGGGCATGTTGCCATTTAAAGAGAGCTGAGTATAGTGTGCTTGCGCCTCATGCCATACCTCAGCGTTTTACCAAATTGAAACTAGCAAAGCTCCAGATTCGGGAGAGGAAAAGTTTACCAGCACTTTGTTTTCTACTTCACGAAAAATATTCTGTTATCCAAACTATTGAACATCTTACCGTAGTTGAAGGCACCTTAGGTCTTCCTTAGTGATATTATTGAGAATATCAGAAAGAGTATAATCCTCTCCAACAATCTGAAACAAAGATGAAGTACTAAGAGAAAGCTTTTTGGCTACGTCATAGGAATCATTTTTGGTTATAAATATACCTTACCTTTTCAATTGTATTTGCATCTGTTCCTTGCATTTGCAACCAGGCTGTAAGCTCATTATCGGTTCCTTGAAAATGAGGGGGTGCTGGGATCTCTGCAGTACCTGTAGTGATTAGAAACATGTACATCAATGTGCTTTTCAAAAGTAAAATGGATGTTAAACTATCCAGAATGTAAATGTGACATGAAAAGATGAATTAACCCTATATTATTCAGCTACCCTATACATATTATATAATTCAGATTTCTTGGGTTTGTTTCACAGAGAGCAGATTTAATAAATGTAGAATTTGATGTTACCCATCTCAGTTTAAATGCTTATTCCCTCCCTGTCTTTAAAGTGCTTTATCTTAGGATATAATGTATCTCCCTAAATGCACTGGAAATCAAATGAGAAACCAGGTTATTGTGTGAGAGCTTACCCATTCCACATTCTAAGTGGCAACTGTACCCCTTCTAAGTGTCACAGAATGAGAGGCTTACTAAAGCATAATTTACACAGTAAACCACCCTTTTAAGGTGTACTTGGACACTCATGTCTCTACTCCCACAATCGAGGTACATTTCCATATTTCAAGAGGTTCTCCTGTGTTTTTAAAATTTGTTCCCTTTCCTATTCATTGATTTATTTTCTGTCCCTGTATTTTTGCCTTTTCCAGAGTACTCTGTGAATGAATCACAGAATATAGCCTTTGAATCTGGTTCTTTTACTCAGCATACTGCATTTGCAATTTATTCATGTTGTTGAAAAGACCAGTAGTTCCTTTTTATTATTAATATTCCAGAATCTACTAGAATTCTAGTTTAACAGAAGATAACCTCAGCTCATTCTCCAAGGCTGATTAGAATATTAGCCAGCCTTTAAATAGTTTCTGTCTCACCTGCAAACACATCTAAGGTAGGGCAAATGAAAAATGACTCACCATTACTTTTGCATTGTAACTGGAGGTGATGCAGTTGTTGAGTTTTCTGTTTTATAGTCAGTCGGAGGAAATTCTGGTATTCTCGCTCTTTTTGAACTAGGTGTTCCAAAAGTCTGGTTTAAAAAGAAAGAAAAAACCAAACAGACGCCATTCAGAGAGCCCAGTACCATCTAATCCAACTTAAACATTTGTTGAACATTAGAGATTTGGAGGCATGGGGCAAACTTAACAGCCAGCCCACAGAGGGAAGAAGATGTCTGGTTTCTTCAGGGTTCTGAGTCAAATTTCAGCTTGTATAGGGGAACCTTCCTTGTATTTTTCCTCCTCTTAGCAACAAGTGTGGGTGTATTTTTGCAATGGAATGTTTGTGTCCTTCTGAAATTCTTCTGTTGAAATCCTAACCCTCAAGGTACTATTTATAAAGGTGGAGCTTTGGAAGGTAAAATTAGTACCCTTATGGAAACAATCCCAAAGACTCTTTGTCCCTTCCATCATGCAAGGATAGAGCGAGTAGCCAGCCATCTGTGAACCAGGAAGTGAACCAGATACTTAAGACTTCAAGTCTTCAGAACTATGAGAAATGCCTCTTGCAAGCCACCTACTTTATGGGATTTTTGTCACAGCAGCCTGAATGGACTAAGAACAGTGGAGAGGAATAACTTTTGAATCCATATATAACATGAATTAGGTGATTATAAATCTTACTGAGAAAAGGTTTTGGGAAAAATGCTGTTTTACTAGCAGCTTTCATATTTTTTAACTCAAAATTTTGCCACTACTAACCATTTAATTAAAATTCTAGGTCTTTTCTTTTTAAAAAAGATTAGATCTGCCTGAAATTAAACTTGAGACTCCTATGGGTGTACATGACTTTTCATCCAAAGTATGTATATCTGACACCTTATCTTTCCATTAAATAAGAAACAGCATCACCAGTGATCATATGGCATTAATACATCATTTGGAACAAGTACCAACTAGTTTGCTGTAGCTGTGGTGTCCCTTTTTTTCTGAAAGCACACTGGTAAAAGTGATTCCCCTTTATTCTGGAGAATTTGGAAAATCACATTATTGATTCAACAAATAATTTTAAACACCTACACCTAGTACATGCCAAGGGGAAACAGGGCACTGCTAGGGTTCCCTGGTTGGGGAAGCAGTCCACAGATGCCTTCCTGGGGAGCATGACTAGATCACCAGAAAGATATAAAGGTGGATTTGTTTGGGGTGAGGGATATGAAATACACATCCATTGCCCAAATGTAAACTGAGCTCCAAACTACCACTTCAGGGACAGGCTACAGATGCCCACTGTTGAGCTCGCAGGGCCACACCATGCTATGGAAGGTGCACCATCTTGGTAAAGACATAGAACTCTGCTACTACTACTTTGTGTGGCCTATGGCAAGGCACTATGCCTGCCTTGATTCCTAATAGTACAAAGCTGTGAATACATCTTTAGTGCGTGTATTGACAGTCAAAGTTTGTTTTTTTAAATTTTCTGAGAGCTGGGTGAGATCCTCAACAATTGTCTTGTTAGCTCAGGTCATTGTCCTACCCCTGGCTTCAGGCAGATGGCCTGAAATGGAAGATTCTCACCTGCTGTTCTCCTCCTTGAGCATGTTCAGCTGGAGGTTCAGCTGCTGCTGCTGCTGGGGTGGGGCCTCTTGCATAACCACCAAGCCACGTCTGCTCCTCTCGGTTACCACACATATTTCACCACTAGGCAGGTGTGGTAGGGAATCGTGTTCCATTTCATCCGTGCGCTTATCTACTCCTTCTGTCTGAGAGGCAGGCTCAGAGTGGGCTTGGAGCTCTGCAAAACACAGGCCATGGTTATCAAAATACTATTTCTTTTTCTTTTTCTTTTTTTTTTTTTTTTTTTTTTTGGTACCGGGGATCGAACTCAGGTCCCTGTGCTTGCAAGGCAGGCTCAAAATACTATTTCAACAAAGCCTGGCCCGAGTGTCATTTATGTTTCCTCCTGACAAACTAGGCTGTTCACCAGCTGACTTTGAAAGGACAGGAAATTATTTCATTTGGTCCTCTGCAGTGCAAAGATGATCACCCCCAGCTTAAACAAGAAGGAACTGAATTAAAGATATTAAGGAAATCAGCTAAGGAGGCCCAACAAAGGTACAGCCAGGCCAATGCCTGCTCAAGTAGGAGAGAAGTGGAGAGTCCTGAGGTTCACTGCCTTTCCTGTCAGCTGAGCCTAGGCTGGAGAACATTCAGGAGAGCAGACAGATAACCAGCAGCTGCCCAAAATAAAGAACAGCGACACTCAGCAGAATCATTCTAAAGTCTCCACTTACACCACCGCAGGAGAGAGCAACTTTGATATTAAGCTGCTTTAACATTTCAAAAAAAAAAAAAAAGTCTACAAAGCCCAAGATTAGGGGGGGGCATAGCTCAGACAGACAGAACATCTGCTTAGCATGTATGAAGCTCTGGGTTCAGTCTCACACACCAAAAAACAAAGCTCTAAATTTTATGGGTACCACAGGATGATTCTGAAAGAAACAGAGCCATTTATTAGCCAGTAAGCACTTGTGAGCAGGCACACTGAAATGGGCACTAGAGGGTCCCACCCTTGGGCTCAACACTCCCTTTTTAAGAGCTTAAGTTTAGTGTGGGTGCAGTCACCTTCACTGCACTTTGGAAACAGGTAAATACAACACCATGAGATGTTCTTGGCCCTTAAAGGGATCTATGACAGCATTCACTTAATTGCAGGGAAGTATAAAGCCAAGATAGGAAAGCAACAATTATTGAATCCAGAGGATATTTCTGGTCTTTCCCACAGCCTGAAGCTGACCCTGACCACAAAAAAGGCACTTACCTGGGATGAGAGTGGTGACTGCAGCATGCACTGCTCTGCGGATGATGTTGTCCATTGCAAACATCCAGTGGGGCCTAACTAAGTGGTTCCTCAAAATTTTATTTACCTAAAAATCACAAAAATCCAAATTTCTATTCTTTTGTACTTTTAAGAAATACAAGTTCATTCTTACTAATTTGTTTGCTTCTATTCTGAGACTGTAAGTCATGCTGAGCTGGATTTCTGCCTGATTTTCTGATCTTCTAGGCTAATGATAACAAACCTTTTAGAGACTAAGTGCCGAAACTGCAACCCATATCCCACTTATTTATCACAGTGCACCAACACTGCAATTAAACCTGAAGACTGAGGTTTACTTTTATACATTAAAAGAAAAAAAAAACAGTAACAGAGGTTTCAATGATATAGCCTACTGTGGCATGTGTGCCATAGGTTTGCCACAGCTGCCCTAGGCTGACCCCAAGTCATGCTAGGACCTAGAAGATGGGCATTAATTGTGCATCTATGAAATGAGACTGCTCTGGGAGCTTGGGACACAAAGATGAACCAGAATGGTCTTGAGCCTGGAGGAATTCACATCTGTTTAGGCAGACACATAAGCTTGGACTTCATACCAACTCTACTGGCAGATGCTCTGTTTCCAAACCCTATATGCATGCTCACTATGGTCAAATGTAATCAGCCCATTCACCAGGTGACATTTCCTATACCTATATGCTCAATGTTTTGAAGGAGTTGCTGAAATTCAGGACTTGGATATATATAGATGAGAAGAAATGTGGGCTATAGAAGACAGTGATTGAATTCCTTGGTCTAGCATGTGCTCTAGGGTCAGATGGAGCACTTACAGCATCCTGGAATCCAAACAGTACCAGGTGAATCTGATTGATGGATACGCTGTCAAAGTTTAGAACCATCTTTAGCTTTGATATCATGGATGCCGTCACCCTGTGGTCCGGGGAGTAGATGAAGTCCCTCAGCATCCCAATTATTTGCTTGATGTGAGCAACTGAGAGATGCATCTCTTCTGAATTCTGACCATACACAAAGACAAGAATCATCATTGAGCTGAGGGGGGGTAGAAAATTCAAAATATTGTGGAAAACTAGATAGCCCATTTGCTAATGGTGGAATTTAATCCCCTGGGTAAGAGAGTCTCTGTTCCTGGGATTCCCTCCATATCCTTCCTGTCCAGGTTTTCCCTGTAGTACACAGCCTCCCCAGGCTCTTCTGAATAGTTCCATCTTCCTGTTTTACCCTTCATCAGGACCCTCATCAATGGCCCATCTCAGAAAGCCTAGTTCATAGTGGGGCAGGGGCCTCTTCCTAAAAGGATCTTCCATGTCCAAAATTAGGAAAGGCAGATAAGTTTTCCTCTACTGTGTCCTAGTTAAAACTCAAATTTTCATCCATAACCATTCTCCCTAACATGGCTGTTCTTTCGGCTTCTGAGGGCAGCTCTACTGTGTCCTACAGCTGGAGGAATAACTCAGCCCACCCCAGGACTCAAAACCATGGTAAGTTGAGAGGAAGCAAGCCAGACACTGGGAACCCTTTCTGAGGTCATCTGGCTTGTTTTCCATCAGGGGGCAGCAACGCCTCACAAAGGCCCAGAAGCACTGCAGGGTTCTGCAAATTGACATTTCAGCAGCCCCCCACCACCACACCTTGTATCTTTTTTTGGGGGGGGGATGTTGGGAAATATTTATGGTGATCATTGTAATTGTGCAAATATTCCAAGGTAGAGGAACTTTGGGCCCTCTGTCAGGCCCATACCTGGCTCACACACTCCTGTAAGTTCGAAGCCACCTGGGTCTGCTCCTCCAAAAGGATTCTGTACAGGATGGCACGATGCTCACTGTCCTCATGCAGCAAGAGGCTCAGGTTCCTTTCTCGGGAAGAGGCTGCACCCTGGTCTTCCAAGGCTGAACTCTCATTAGGAACACTACAGATAAGCACATGCAACAATCCCGTGCAAGTCCAGGAGCAGAGTCTCCAGGAAGTGCACCACATGGTAGGAGGGGGAGGGTCCCAGAAAGACCATTCTGCAGTACCCCCTGTGGAGGCTGAAGAGATGCTGTATCCCTCCCTCCCTCTCTCCCCTTTTGCTCCCACACAGCACCTGGATGGAAAAAGGAAAAAGGGGATGGTGGGGGGTGGGTGGAGGGAAGAATTAGAAGGGAGATAAGAGCGGAAAGCACAGGAAAGGTCAGTGAAAAAAGTGCCTTCTTTGTTCATCCCTGGAAACCCTGCTGTCCTGCAGAAAGGAAGCTAAAGTCCTATCAAGCAGGTATTCTGTCACTGTGGAACACCAGCACTCCCTCAAGACCACAGGAGAGGGACAAGGGACACAAGCAGTACCTGAGGTGGCAGCTGGGCTGGTGTTCAGGTGCGTGGGCATCCTCAGAGAATGTGTCTGGCTGGGCACGAGAGTCTAGGGAGATAGAACCATGCTTGCTGCTGTTACTGCCCAAAGGCTCCCTCAAAAATTGTAGGGCGAGGGGGCCAAGGATTTAGCTCAGTGGTTCGGTGGCCTGCCTCGCAAGCACAAGGACCCGAGTTCGATCCCCGGTACCAAAAAAAAAAAAAATGTAGGGCAAGGGCACTGGTAGCACACTGGACACCCGCTACAGAGGGACAACCAGATAGGGATTGGAGAGACTCAGAAGGAAAGAGGTGGGGAATGAGACTCTGGCAGCCCCTCAGGTCCACGTGCCCATCCAGGGGCTTACTAAGCCTGTGCTGCACTATCAGGGCAAATAGTCCCCTCCCCCAATCCTGATAAAACTGTAGGTCTGGAATGGGTCCTTGAGAAACACTGATCCAAGTAGTCCAGGTTCACACCTGTGGGGCAAGCTACAGAACCACTCTGCCATGGCTTCTCACTCCATCAACACCAGGGAGAAGAGAACAGATCTATTTTCAGAGGCCACTCATATGTTACTGTCAGTTACAATTCATGGCCCCAGAAGGTATCACTGGGCTTTGATGGCCTGCAGGATGGGGACTACAGGCAAACCTGCATAACACCCTTTAATCAAGGTCAGAGTCAGCACAGAATGGTAGGACAGGCTCTGAAAATGAGGCACCAGGCTCTGCACTTGGGGAAAACACAAAACCCTAGCCAAAGTACTTCTGGCCTCTCTCCTTTTCAAATTCCCAAAAGAATGACCTTCATCACAGTCCCCAGAGAGGCTACCTATTCCTTTGTCAGAAGATGGGAGGATAGTTATTGGCTGCATTTTAATAACTATACTAGTATTGCCCCTGCTATTCTAGCACACAAATGGGCATATGGGGAGCTCTGTGCTCTAGAGTGGGTATTCTTTCTAAGCAACAGAGAAGCCTGGGGCCCAGGCACCCCCCCAACTGTCCAGGTAGGCCTCACCTGAAGGCTTGAAAGCAGTTCGCTTCCTCTCACCCTTCTTTGACTGCTTTAAGAAGTTCTGTGTGAGTAGCCCAGCAGCAGTGACCCGTTTGCTAGGGTTAGGCTCGAAACAGGATAAGATGAATCCTTTAGCTTTAAATGAAAGGGTTCGTGGAATATCAGGATGCACCTTAAGCAGCCCTACCTGTATTGAAGAGAAGTAACAGATGTGTCAGTGAAGGCTTTGGCGAGTTCCATGCCCATGCCCTTGTCTGCTGCAATCTTGTCTCTTCCCCTCCCATCCATAAAAGGACTCTATTTCCCATTCCTGGAGTCTTGGCTGGCTTCTCAGGACTCTGTTCTAAGAGATGGTGATAGAAGCAATATGTGAGGGTTTCAGATGATAGGCCCTAAGGGACCTCATAGTGCCTGCTCTACTCTTCTTGAAGTCTTGAGATCACCACACCATACAGAAACAGAGCCCAGGATGAATGACCGTGTAGAAAGCCTTACTGCAGCCTCCACCATGTGAGAGGGGCCCTCCTAGATAATCATGCCCCAGCTCAGCCACCACATGAATGAGCCCTCTTAAGCAGAAGAACCAACAGGCAGCTCACAGTGAGGAAGAAGTGATTGTTTTATGCCTCTATGTGCAGGGCTGGTTTGTTAAATAACAAGAGAACCCAGAAGGACTTAGGGCATGGCTTGGGGTAGGAGAGGTTCAATCTGAAGATATACAAAGGTATCTCCTACCTGTTCCCAAGAAATACCCCATATACTTTTCAATCTTTATGTATCCAAAGCCAAAATCTCCAATCTCTAGCTCTAAATTATAAGCACCTGAGGCTGCTACCTCACAAGTGTCTCATCTTGGCATCCACAGCCAATACATGGCCTCCTCTCCCATGGGGCACAGTGGGCCAAGGGAAGGATGCTGTGCTTTCCTGTTAGCATTCTTCCTAGAATGACTGCTTCATCTTCTATTTCTAGTCAGATAATCATTGTTCTGCTAAAGGTTCTGTGTTCCTGTGACCTATAATGGAGTGTGAGTTCCCAGCTGCCACATCTCACCATGACATGGGAATGCTTCCATGACACATCTTGCGAATGCCTTCCTGCATAATTACCCATCAGGGGTGGTTCTTCAATCTTTTCAGGAGCTGTCATCTTAAAGTCCATGGCCTTCCCTGTGTCTTTCATAAACCCACCCTGGGGTAGAAGCCATTCTGTCTTCCAGATTCACACTCCTTGCCAGCTCCTCAGTAATTTCAGAGCCTGGCTCAGCCTCCTTTGCCCTGCTGTGTGAGATCTGGGGGCTGCAGAGCCTTATGACCTCACCCCCACCATATGCTCTTCACCAGGTGGACATGTCCCATTCCCAGGATACCCAGGGAAAGGAAGGATAGCTCAGGAGTTAGGGGTTCTGACAACACTAAATGCTGGATGGAACCCAAATCAAAATTTGAAATGCAGGGCATGCTACAGGTGGCATCCCTCACCTGAGTAGTGGGGACAGATGTCAGCAGTGCCCAATGGCTCTAGGGTGTACAGAGACAAAAATTCAGGACAAGAACCTCAAGTGGAAAGGAATGGCTTTCCCTCTGGCCCTCGGATTGAAAAGAGCAGAAGTGGACAGCACCCTAGTACCCTGCAAATACATCACTTTTAAGGGTGTTTTGCTATAAATCATAAGTACTCTGTAGCAGTGAGATAGGGCTGCTAAACAAAAATATACTGTCTCAGTTCTAGAGTCTAGAAGTTCAAGGTCAGGCATTACCAGGATCCGGCTTCCTTCTAAAATCTGTAATGAGTCCTTCCTTGTCTCTTCTGTGCTTCTGGGGCTTCCAGACCATCTCTGGTAGTCCTTAGCTTGTAAATTCATCACCTCAGTCCCTTGGCTTCACGTGGCATTCTCCTTGTAGGTCTTCACAGTTTTCTCTCTGTGGACGTTTCTATGCCCAAATATCCCCTCTCTTTTAATAAGGTTACCAGTCATGCTGCACTTGACCCCACTCTACTGGCCCCATTTTAACTTGATTATAGTATCTCTGTAAAAATCCTATTTCCAAATAAGGTCACATTCTGAGTTACTAGTGATTTTAGGACTTTCTATATCATTTTGGGCGACATAAACCGTAACAGTCCCCTTAGGGGAAGAATAATTCCTTTTGTTTCGTACACTGCTCAGAAATTTCTTGAAATTTTTCTGAAGGATACTAGGATCCCAGAAATAAATGACACAGAGGACGATTTTCTTACTTTGTTGGCAATTTAAAAACTAACTTCATATGCCAAGTAAAAAAGTCAATGTATATTTTAAAAATTTGTACAGCAAATTAGTTAACCAAAAACAGGAAGCAAGAATACGGGTGTTGCTTATGCTCTGTGAATGAAATGAGAAAGTCACAGCCTTCATTTGGGTTCCTGAATCTTACAGAAAATCAAAAAGATCACAAAGTAACCAGCTTTCAGGTGGGCCCCATGTTTTTCTCAACATCTGCTGCTATTTATAGTGGTCCCTCAGTTCACAAACTTAATTCATTCCACAACTCTGGAAGATAGCCATGTTGATATTTGTGCAGGAAAGATGACCATGATCATGTAGGTCACCTAATGCAGAGTTCACAAACAAAAAAAACATTTTGCTAAATGCTTCTGTTTGCAAACAAAATCATTTGTGAACCAAGGTACCACTGCATTTAATGGAAGCCATGGGTAACATTTTCAGTGGCTCCAACTGGGTCTTTTGTGGATAGTTACTAATATGCTAAAGTTAAGACTGTTGCTGTCTTCCAGCCCTTGTGTTCATGGTTCTGGTTGGATTGCAGGGTCAGACTTGTTGACCTGAGGTCAGAAGCTCTGAGAACCTTCTATAGGCTAAGTTGAACAGCCAAGGTACCCAGAATACAGAGCACTGAGAGCCCACTGAATGTGCTTTCCTCACATCCTGAGTTAATACCCAAGGGGCCAGGCTAGAAAGCTCAACAAAGATGCAGGCCATATGGAAGGTAGCCACATTTGGCAGAGGAGCCAGGAAGAGGCCTCTGGAACCATGCACTGCCAGGCTGTTTTCAGTGTACCATGGTTCATTATCCATAAGCAATGGCCACTTGGCCTTTAGCAACCTCTTTTAGTGAATAAAAATGTTCCATGGAAGGTTAAGAGCTGGTAATGGATTCTTAGGGCTGGAGCCCCTTAAATGTTTTTAGGTATACTTTCAGTAAGAGGCAGACCTAACCTTGGGCACACAGAACTGGCCTGGCATCGGCTTCCTGTGGGGTTATTAGCAAGCACATTCTGAGACCCCAGTTGCCCAGTGGTAAAACCACCACGCATATCTGTCAGTTTGTATTATGTTACCCTCAGCATGTGAAGTGCCCTACTATCAGCTCTGGGGAGGGTTCTCTGAATGATAAAGAATATATCATCTGATATCTAAAATTCTACTTCTTCAAAATTCAGTCAGAAACCTGTCCTCCAAAGAACCAGATTGCACCAAGGTCTTAGAAAGAGCCTTACTCTGGGTAAAGGCAAATGCAAATGAAAAATGTGAGGCTTTATTGTCCCTATGGAATATAAGAGAAGAGAATACCTCCTTTTGTTAGAGCATTAAGAAAATTTGGCATTGTATGTAAATCTTTTTAGCAGCCAAACAAGCCTCTTGCCAAAAATATTATTTCCCTTTAAAGCCTGCCTGGGAGCTATTTGGAATAGTAATCATGGAGGAAGATAGTGCCTATTTCTCAGTTTCTATAGAGGAAAAATGTTTAACTTTGGTGGTTTCTTGCTCCAAAACTACTTCCTGCCTTAAAGATATGACAAGTTCACTTTTTCCTTTACATAAAGCCAATAACCTAACAAATGGTCATCTCAAATATCAGGTGAATCTAAGATGTATATGACAAATGGTGCTGTCCAGTGCTCTTTCATGAGGACTATTTATCTTGAGAATGTGGTTCATTATGGGTTCTATCTGCTTTGGCTATATAAAAGGGTGGGACTTTAACTGGCACTTAGTGGTACATGCCTATCATCCCAGCTACTTGGGAGGCTGAGGCAAGAAGTTTACAAGTTCAAGGTCAGCCTGGACAGCTTAGCAAGACCCTGTCACAAATTTAAAAAGTAGAAAGGCCTAGAGGTGTAGCTCTGTAGTAGAGCCATTTGCCTAGCATCCATGAGGTCCTGGGTTGAATCCCTAGTGCAAAAAAAAAAAAAAAAAAAAGACTTCTTTCCATCTTAGTGGGTTGTCTTGATATACTTTCATTATAGTTTGACATTTATGCAATAAGCAAACTACTTTCCTTCTTTCCTACCTTAGTGGATAGGTTTTATGGATGGAGAAGAGATTTTTCTAATTCCATTTGTTCAACATCTAAACTACTCAAATGATTAAGCATGTCTTACTTTTAACATCGCTGCCTGAGATTCACTGAGCTCACGGAATGGAGGCCTGCTGGTGGCCATCTCTATGATGGTGCAGCCCAGGGACCAGATATCTGCTGGGGCACCATACCCTCGAGGTCCTTGAGCAATAATTTCAGGTGCCATGTACTGTACAGTGCCTATGTAGAAAACAAACAAACAAAGATTAGGGGTACCATAGTGCTGACAACCAAGCAACCATTAGTAAACAAGTATGTGACTTTAACTGCCTCATTAATGGTAGATAGAACCTCTTCCCAAGCATAAATAATGTGGTTGCACCATTTTGACCAGAGAGACATGCAGCATCCTTTTTTGTTGTTGTTGTTCGGGTCCTTACACTTGCAAGGCAGGCAGCGGTGGCAGATCCACTAAGCTAAATCCCTGGCCCCCTTAATAATAGTCATACCGAAAGAAGATTACTCAGCCCTTCAAAGGATAAATGGGCCTGATTCAGCAAGTACTTTTCAGCACATATCAAATGAAGAGGAAGTACAGTATGAGAAACAGCCAGATCACAAGGAGCTGCCTAGTGGAGGAGACAGGCATAATGGTGGCAGTGGTGACAGCACTGAAGGTGAAATGTAATAGCTGCTATAAGACAGGCATATGCAGAAGACTATAATATGCATTTTAAAAGTAGCTCAGTTCTGCCTGGTCTGAATCAGGAAAATCTATGGCTCTGTCAATTTTGCTTTCTGAGAAGTAAACACCAAAACAAGATTGGACATATAAAAGAATTACAGAGAAGATCTATGACGGATACAAGGAGGGAGGGAAGGACCAGCAGGATGTGTGTCAGATTGTGATGCAGGTCTAACCTCTGGAAAAGGGGTAGGGAGGAAGAATTGGGTAGGAAGTATTTTCGGATGGCACTGCTCTGAGAGAGCTTCATCCAAGCCACCAGCAAGTCCTTGGCCAAAATGTGCCCACTGGAAGAGTCCCACATTGGTTTTAGGACCCTCGCCAGCTTCAGTCATTGGTGCGAAATAGCCTAGGTAAAGTGTGACCTTGCCATGAATGTGACTGTGATTCCAAGGGGCAGCATCTGAAACTGACAGTGAAGTAGGTTCCTACTGCAAAGATCAAAGTGATGGACCAAGGGTTAGAAGGACGTCCAGGTAAAAGAACTTGAGCAAAGCACATGGGTGTGACGTATTGAGTTTAGGGAGCAATAAGTGATGTTTGACCCAGGGCAGGGTATAGAAAGAAAGTGGGAAGGACACATCCCAGATGGTGAGCTGTGTGTTCTGAGGGCTCTGGCTTTGGACTTTCTTCTGAGTGTCATGAGCCCCCAGATGTCGCCACAGAGAAGATGGTAATCAGATATGGTACCAGACAGCAAAGGGATTATTGATGGGAAAGACACAGGGCAGGAGCAAAATCTTTAGTTTTTCTTGAAACTAAACATGAGAAATGGGGAAATTTGGATGTGACATCAGCAGATTCTATGGTCTGGCTAAGAAGTTTAGAATAAGACAACAAACCAGAAATGACCTTAGTTAAGTGTGACTAGAACCCTGGTGTTCAGAGAAATGAAAAGGCCTCTCTCTAGATCTATCATACAACATCAGGTTTCCTAAATTTTAATCAATGAAAACAAAAGACACATCAGTTTAAAAAATTTGGAGGATATCAGTAATCCTCTTGAAGATCCAATGTCTTACTAGCACTTTTCCTTCCTATGAACATTTTAAAGGCACTAGGACAGCTGTGACCAAGAGAATGTTCCACAATGATGGAAATATTCTATTCTGTGCAGTCTAATGTGGTGGTCATTAGCCACATGAGACAGAAATTATTTTTAAATTATTTTACTTTTATTTAATTTCAAATGATTTAAAGTTAAATATAAATCAGCCTGTATTAACAGGCCCAACAGATCAGTGGGTCACAGACAATGGCTTTGATCTCTGGAGCTGAAAACCTGGTGGGGAAGTGTTCAGTCAACTGCAGAGTTGGGCAAAATGAAGATGCATCATGCTTGATGCACTGTAAGGAAACTCCAGAGTCCTGAAAGGGAATTTTTGATAATACAGTTATCTCCTACAGGCTGTTTCTCTGTGAATAACAGGAGAAGTACTGGCAGGGAATGTGCCTTCTAATGAATCTATAATTCATTAATTATGGAAAGATTTGACATTATTTATTAAGCTCTCAGCTCTGCTCTGAGATGCTGGGTCTGGGACTCTAGAAACCCCATTTCCTTTTTGCCTATAGCTCCCTCTGAGGCTCTGCAACTAGGCATCAGTAGAGAGACCCTGGAAAGCTGGAGGGGGGACCCAGAATCTAGCCATATACCATTGCTTCTGCTATTCCATTCATTATACGTAACTAAGTCCAGTCCATATACAACAAGTGGTGGTTAAACAAGGGTGACATATCAGGAGGTGGGGAGCACTGGAGACCACCCTGAAAGCTGGTCCCCACATCTGACTTTTGGTTGGCATTTGATGGCTTACAAAGTGTCTCCATGTAGTATTGTCCATCATCTGTCTCTCATAGCTCTGTAAAGCTGGGCAGAGGAAACCTGTGATCATTAACTATGCTATCAACTTGAATAAGAAATGCCCAGCTGATTGGTTTAGCACAGTTATGAGTGTGTCTAGATGATGGAATCAATGAAGAGGGAAGACCAACCCTATATGTGGATGGCATCAACCAATAGGCTTGTGGCTTGGCTAGAATAAAAAGGGAAAGAAGGAAATCTTGCTTCTGCTTCTTTGAAGAACTCCGGTCTTTGGCATCATTTTTGGATATCTATCTCCAGCCTTCCAGCACATACTCTTCAGCTTCTCCACACGGCCTTGCACAGGACTCTGCAGTGAGCTCCAGGCCTTTGAATTTTGACTGAATCTTCTGGCTCTCCAATAAACAGACAGTCCTTTTGCATTCTCCTACTCCTGACTCACGAGGCAACTATTGTAAGACTACCTTATAAACTATATCTATATACAGTATATACATAGCTGTACACACACACACACACACACACACATATTATCTGTCTCTCTAATGAACCCTGATCCAAGATCCTATCTACTATTAATCCCATTTTACATATGAAGACAAAACTGAAGTTCAGAGAGGAATACTGCTGAAGCAACCCTTAAATAAGAGCAACTGATGCAAGGGTTTCCAAAGCCATATTGTAGCTTTTTTACCCCCGTGTAACTTGAAGGTACACAGCAATGGTGGAGAACTGAGTGCTCCATTTGAACATCCTCAGGCAGTACGCATGTTGTAGGTGCACATCAGCTATGCCAAAGGCTAGATTCTCGGAGAAAAGCAAGCAAAGATGGCACTGTGGGACATCTGAATCCTGCACGAATGCTGAGCAATTGGCTTGCCTTACATCTGGCTCTCTTAGGGGCCTTACCTCTCTATACTTGTTTCAAGGGGTGCCCCATTCCTCTGGTCCTTGGTTTAGCAGCCATGGTTTTCAGGCACCTACACTAGGGCAGTGGTGGAATTCAGAACAAGGTATCTAGCCCCAATCCCCTGAACATAAAATCTATTGGTAGCTCTCTGACCGTTGTCCAAGCAGGATTTCTGAGTTACCAACAAAGAAAACATATGGAATAAAGTGAAACTTTTTGACAGATTCAAAGATACAGTCTAGATCTCAGGGCAAAGAGGTAAGATGGGGACCGCCAGATATCCCTTTTCTAAGGGAGTCTCAGACCCCTGGGTTCAAAAGTCTTGAGTCCTCATCCAGGGGCCTCCTATCTAGATCAAGGAATGCAAAGGGTTGAAAGAAGACAGATTGGAAGCATGTGGGCGGGGTGCTGAAATCAGCCTCTTTCGAGAGCTGCACTGGGTGGGCTACCCTCTGTCCAGTTAAGACTTGGTGCAGGGCTGTCCCCAGAAAGGCGTGGTTCCATGGTGGTTCAAGCTGATCAATGTTGACTCAGGATAGTGGTACTTGACAGGCCATACATGTTAACATCTGCTATATGCCCCCTGAGATATTGTTAGAGCCCAAACTTTAATGTTAATGTAGAGAAAAGAGAAGTGACGTGCAGCCTCCCATGGCAGTGGGAGTTGTCCTAATAGCCATACCGAAGGGATGGGATCAGTCAGGGGGCAACACTTTTTCCCAAACTAAAGCCTTTGAACTACTCAAACCTTGATACATACACATCCCCTGTAGGTAAGTTACACAGAGAACTGGATTCCTACAGAGCAAAAGTCAGAGCAGCAGACAAGGGACTAGTGAGTTGAAGGTGCATGAAGCCCAGGAATAAGAGGTGAGACCTGTATTAAAAATACTGGTTTGGTGTTTGTTTTTTTTGTAGAGGAGCCCTGCTCAAAGGCAGTCTCTTCCAGAGCCTGACTCCCTTCATAGAAAGAGAAATGGGTAGAACATAAAAGGTAAGGGACAGCAGAAGGCAGGGTGGGTAATCAGCAAAAGGACAGACCCCTGCTCATGACACATTTAGAGTGATTGAGCAAGAGAAATTAACAGAAAATACTAGCCAGGCCAGATCACAGAAAGGTAGCTTAAGAAAGTGCTAGTCACGAGACTTGCCAGGCCCCTTTCCCTGCCTTTCTATAGATGGTGAGTAGGGAAAGAAGTGAGGGAGAAGCTGGCACCAGGTACCTGAGTAGAGGTCCCTGCAAATGCAGGGAGAGGGAAAAGGAGTTGGCCCTGTGAATGAAGACCAGAATATTGATCAGTATATTTCACCCTGTTTGCACCTTCAAGTGCCATTTCAACTCTTTTCGTCATCTAAGAGTGGCTAAAAAAATCACGAGAAAGACACATCACTCTGGGTAGGATGTAAAGAAACAGTGGGAGACACAAATATGATGGCTTTTATGACAACGCCCTTTGATTCCTACAGGTTCAATATGTTAGTTATACATGGAAAACCAATTCTCTCAAAGGCTCATTACATCTTTAATAGCCTGTGACTTCTAAGTGCAAATTAATATTTATTTTATTTAATTAATAAATATTTATACTTCAATTTCACTTGCTGTGAGCCAAGTACCAGTCAAAGCACTTTATGAATATTAACCCATTTAATCCTTAAAAACCCTATAAAGTAGATACTATGAGCACTTCTATTTTTCTTATGAAGAACACAGGGTAACAAGTCCAAGGTTACACAACTAGAAAGTGTTTGAGGAAGGATTTGAACCTGCTCATCCTTGAACCAAGGATGCTTTTAGCCATAATACGTCCACACAAAAGCTGGTCTGTGAATGATTACAGCAGCATTATTCACAACAGTCAAAAAGTGGAAACGACCCAAATAATCACTAACTGGGAAATGTAGTCCATCCATACCATGGAATAGTACTCAGCCTAAAAAAGAAAGGCCCAATATATGCCGTAGTATGGATGAGCCTTGAAAGCATTTCACTATGGGAAAGCAGATGGATGCAAAAACCACATGTTGCCTTACTTCATGTGTATGAAACATCCAGAACATGCAAATGTACACACACAAAAAATAGATTGTTGCATTGGGTTAGTACTAGAACTGGAACTGACTGCAAAAGGGCCTAGTGGGGAAGGGGGCAACACTTTTTCCCAACCCAAAGCCCTTTGGGGCATCTTTTGGGGGGTGATAGATATATTAAAAAACTGGATTGTGGCAATGGTTGCATGATGCAATAAATTTACCAGAAACCACTGAATTGTGCATTTCAAGATGCTGCTTTCATCATATTAAGTTATACTTCAATAAAGCTGTTAAAACCATTACAAGAACAAGAGGGCTAGGGAGGTAGCTTGGTGGTAGAACACTTGCCTAGTAGGTTTAAGACCCTGGATTCAATCCCCCACACTGGAAAGAAAAATAAAAGCTGTTCTAGAAAAGCCCTAGGAACACAGGATGGAAGAGATCCAGTTGCCCAAAGCCTTTGGCTCCTGCCAAAGCTCAGATGGCCTCAAATCACTTACAGGGAAAAGCTCCACCATATTCACCCAACCCAGAGTTCTGCACCAACCATCTGAAATTTCATTATAGAACTGCTCTGTTTTGCAGAGTAATTATATGCAAGGGAATTTCCTAACCCAAACAAGTCCCCTCCTTTATTATCCCCCAAACACCACTGCATTGTTTTGCAATGCAAAATTCATGCCTCCTCAATGTGATATGCAATAACGAATTAGAAATGTGTTTTGTGATTTTTTTTCTCCTTGGGGATGCTAATTATAAGATAAATTGTTGGGGGATTTTGTTTTTGAAATAAAACCTTGTCATATCAGAGCCCCTCTTGCTACAGATTGGTAAGTTAATTGATGGATTCCAAAGAGGAGGAGGATATAAGGTTTTTTGGTTTTTTTGGTTTTTTGTTTTTGTTTTTTTGAGACAGGGTCTCACTATGTAGTTGAGACTGACCTGGAACTCACTATGTAGCCCAGGCTAGTCTCAAACTCACAGCGATCCTCCTGCCTCAGCCTCCAGAGTGCTGGGATTACAGGTGTGCACTACAATGCTGCCTGGCAGTTATTTTTAATTATGGTAGTAAAATGCTAAGAGAGGGAAAAATGGTCAGCCCTATATATTCATATGTAAATATGATGTATGTATATTTACACCAGAAATAATAAATTAAAATTAAACATGCTCTTTCTGTGAGAAATTCTGATAGTGCCCTGGTGTGGTATTTTCCTATTCTGAGATACACATACATCCCCTTGTGTTACAACTAAAAAGTCATTTTTGATGTATTAAAATTTCCTTTTGATGGAAGTACAGCTCCACTGTGGGCATCCAGCAGCTGACACACAACTCTCTTGTTGAAGAAAAGCCCTTCAAAGCTGAGACATTATTCACTAAAAATAAGGTCCAATCTGCCCATTACATAGCTTTGGCTACTATAGGTATAGAGATCAGTAATCTGCCTTTTATAGTTTATTTCAAAGCTGTAAGATTATGGGGGTTGTTTTACAATTCTATCAATCAAGTACCTTTATGTTACTCCTCAGGGAATCATAAACCTTTACTTATTCAAAATCAGTACTTCTTTCCCAGGATCAAAGTTTGGCTATCCTTTCTTTTTAAGCAGGAATTTCAAAAGCCATTGGTAGCTTCTGAGCGGTATTTTTACCTAATGGTCTGGTAAATGTACAATTGGTTGGTAATTTTATGTCATACTTTGAGTTCACTCTCTTTCAGCATTTAAACTGTTCCATCACTGACACATGGAAAAGAAAATGCAATTCCCCAAATACACTTAAAATGCTATATTCCTCCAGAGAAATTAGCCTCCCTGGAAAACATAATCATATCAAAACATGAGGTGTCAGAATTCACTAAAGTAATAGGCTATTTTTATGACAGACCCCAATAAAAATGTCCTAATCAGTTGTCTAAGGGATACTGTTACTCAGAATTACTCATGAGTTTTGGTAGTGTGCTACCAATTTTAAAGACACTGTCATTTTGCTGACTGGGTACAAATCCCTCAAGAAATCTCAGCAGAGCCCTATACCTAACTACCCAACTTCTGAGAGGCAAAGAAGAATGTAGGGCAATCTTGCTGCCACTAGTAGCCAGCTAAGTGAATTGCTTTGATAGTATGTACTAAAACAATTTGAGGTCAGAATAATACATTATCTACATGAAGTATCAACTGTCAATTTGTGCTGGGAAGGTGCCCAGTAAGTAACTCTCACATGACCACAGCTTGTGTGGATAGTTTAACTCCAAGGTGGCTGCCATGCCAAGCTCTGCAAAGGCTTACCTGTAAAGGTCTCTGTGCATGGGTTCACTCCTGCGAGGCGTTTGGAGGTTCCAACATTGGTGATTTTTACCACCCCACTGTAGGTGTTTATCAGAACATTATCACCCTTCAGAAAAAGAACAGCATTCAGTGCTTAAAGACAGATTTAAATAAATGAACATGACACAGTTTGGGATCTTCAGAAAGTGTCTCCACGAAGACTACATTTTGCACTTGGGGCGCAGTCCTGCCACATCAGCCCCCTCTATAACCAAGTCTCTCAGCACACATTACACAGATAGTTTTCATGACCAAATAGGAGCTAATTGCCATGGGTCTAGACAAGCCAGTACCTTTATGTCTCTGTGCACTATCAGGTTTTCATGGAGATACTTCAGGCCTTCCAGGATCTGCCTGGTGTAAAATTTGATAGTGGACTCCTTCAATGGCCCCCATTTGGATTGCAAGAGAGAAGAAAGGCTTCCTAGAAACATGAATACAGCAAAACAAAAATCAAGGTGACAAAGACTAGACTGTTAGAGGAAATAAAATGGGAGTAGTGTTTAAGCTGACATAAGCACTTATACCAACATCATCATCATATCTGGTTCAATGTAACACAATTCCTCCCTCTCTACAGTCCCAGCCAAGAACAGACTGGAAAATGAGTCAGCATCACATTAAAGGCAGAGGATAAAAGGACCCCCCAACCTTGTGATCCCTGAAATTCAGTGGGGTCCACTTTGGCTTTAGCTCTGCTTAGCTGCACAAAATCAGCAGAAACACTCCTCTCTGAACTCAGAGGTATGACCTGCTATCATACATTACTTGGGTCACATGACACTTGCTATATATAACCAACTAGGCCATTCTACTTAGAGCAGAGCCATATTTCATACCTCATCCTACAATCAGAGGTGGACAAGTCTAGAGTGAGGGGCCCTTGGGAGTGATAGAGACTAGAATTATCTGTCCTTGTTGTAAGAAAGCTCCAACAGCAAGCTACAGGATGGGACCATCTTGATTAGCAAGCTCTTCCCCCATTACTTCATTAAACACTGAACTGTGCTGCCAAAATAAAACATCCCTCTGGACGTTCTGACCATCTGTCCCAGAGGTGGTATCAAAGCAGGTGAGTCTTCCTGCTGGCAAGAATGGGCCCTCTGGGCATCAGCTGCTCTGAGCTGCACCACTCTACAGTGCTCTGGGACCTTGCCAAACTTCAGTTTCCCCATCTGTGAAAGGGAATGGACACATCTATCTCTAATCTTGCTGTCATCCTTCAGCCTAACACCTGGAACAGTGATAAATGTGAACAGCAATAGACACATTTTTGTCTACACTATGAGTTACCTAAGGAAAGAGAGACTATTTGTCCTTAATATAACCTTCAAAATCTAGCCCACTGCCTAGCTCTTAATATATAAATTTATACTCTTAAAATATTATTCTCTTGTTGGTTGAATGAATACACAGTTCTAACTGAAGGTTTTACATCTGTAGTCAAATAATTATAATTATTTTTAATGAAAACATTTAATGAATTTTATTATTATTTAATGAGCAGCTATTTCTTGGGCTTTTGCTTGCTGCCAGGCTCTGTTTGAAAAGCTGTACATCATGTAGAGGTACAAGATCCCAACAATGAATGTAACTGTACTGTATCCCTAAAATGTACCAATAAACTCAAAGCTGAAAATAAAAAAAAGAAAAGCTGTACATGCATTATCTCATTTAACTCATACAATGATCCACTGAAATAGGGTTATTATTCCCATAATTATCACCCCAATTATTATAGCAACTATTATTACTCCAATTTTACAACTTATTCAAACAGAAAACTGAGGGCACAGAGAAAATAAGTTTCCCAAGGTCACACAGCTTATACATGGTTAGACTGATTAAACTAAACAGTCAGTTCCACATCTACGGAAGTATTTCTTATCTCCCACGTTCTACTGCCTACATTTAGGGATTCTGTAGATAAAGCCCTGGTGTTTGAGTTCACTATTAGCATGTTATTTTGTAATGTCATTTTGACAATCTGTGTCCCCTTTTCTCCAAATCACCTTTAAACCTCTAGATTCTGAAGAGACAGGAGACTCTACTTCCTCTTTGTCCCCAATGAAGCACGCAGTAGATACTCAATGAGTATTTATGGGTTGAATAAACAAAGTAGAAATAGCCTATTTAAGTGACATTTCAAAAGTTTACATAGAATTTTTTCTGAGAAACCAATGTTTTCCAACACTTAAAAGGTCTGTCACTTTTAAATGGAAAGACAATTATTGATGCCCATATTGTATTTTCATTAATGATTTTAAAATATGAGATCAGAAAATAATGACCACTCACCTCCAGGCACCTGCTCCATAAAGATCTTAATGTAACCACCCTCAGACACAGAGCCCAGGTACTGGACGATGTTGCGATGTCTGAGGTACTTGTGCAGGGCTATCTCCTCATGCAGAGGTTGAGAGCAACTATTATGAAAAAACAAAGCCAGTGTCACCACCAAATCCCAAAAGCTCTAGACCTCATGGCACCTCACCAGTATCTTCCCTACTGCTAACCATCACTTCTTTCTGAAAACTCACTCTCCCTTGACTTCCATGAGACTACTCAGCTTCCCATCTGTAAAACAGGAAATACAGGCTGAGCATCTGTAATCCAAAAGCCCAAAGTCTGAAATGCCCCAAATCCCAAATTTAGCCAATTATGGCAGCACATGCCTGTAATTCCAGCTACTTTGTGTGCTGAGGCAGGAGAATTACAAGTTCAAGCCAACCTGGGCAACTTAGTGAGATCTTGTCTCAAAAAATAAAAAAAGGGCTAGCTCAATGCAAAGGCTCTGCGTTCAATCCCTAGTACCACTAAATAAATAAATTCATACATAATACTCCAAAACTTTTTTTCCTGGTACTGAGGCTTGAAATGAAAGTGTGGCACACACTAGGAAAGTGCTTGTGACCCAAGCTTTTTACATTTTTTTTGAGAGATACAGTCTCACTAAGTTGACCAAGCTGGCCTCAAACTTGTAATCCTCCTGCCCCAGCCTTCCAAGTAGCTGGGATTACAGGCATGTGCCACCACACCCAATTCAAAATCTGAAACTTTTAGAGTGCCAGCATAACTCCACAAGTAGAAAATTACACATCTGACCTCATGTGATATGTCCCAGTCAAAACACAGGTGTACTATTATACAAAATTGCCTTCAGACTATGTCTCTAAGGTCTACAAAAAAAAAAATTTTGTGTTTAGATTTGGATCCCATTCCCAATAAGCCTCATTATATACATGCAAATGTTCCAAAACCTGTAAAAAAAATCTCAAATCTGAAACACATCTGCTCTCAAGCATTTTGGATATAGTAATATTCAAGCTGTATAAATACCAGCCATATAGGCTTCTGGGTGTCAAATTGCATCAAGGTGGTATGGAACCTAGTGGAGGGTCTGGTTTGTGGTAACTACTCAATAACTGCTGTTCTTACCATCACTACTGGTAGGGCCTGAGCTTTCTAACCATTTTTTTAACCTCTCTCAACAACCCAGGTCCTCTGCTTCCCATGCAGGGTAGTGTTCTAGAAGATTCCATCCCCAGCTGCCTTGCAGTCTTACTTTATAGAGTCACCAAAGACCACTACAGAAACACCTGATGTGTCATCTAACCCCAGTCTCTGAACTTTTTAGTTCATAACTCTTCACCCCTGGGATTATCTCTTCTTGAAACACACACATCACCATATCATTTCCCTCCATAAATTCCGCATAAAGACCATATTGTTTCATGTGGCACACAATGACCTTCAAAACCAGGCCAGATGATTTTTTGCTTCAAGGGCCCTTCATTGCTCCATATCCTACATCCATGCCATTAACAGAAAAACTGCTCTCTGAACACACTTTGTGTTTTAACAGTTCTATTCTTCCCTAAAGTAACCCTCCTTTTCTGTAAAGCAAACTCCTACTCATCCCTCAAAGACCAGCTCAAAAATGATTTGTTTTTTTCAAACTTGCCACAACTCATACCAGAAAATTCAGCCCACCTCTGTGTTCTAAAAACGCTCTGTGTATCCTTCTATTATGGCACTTCTTACTGACTCACAGGCATCTGTATTGCTCACCAATCTGGCAATACCCTGGGATCAGAACAATATCCTAATAACTTTTCAGTCCTCACAGCCAGCTCAGAACCTGGCATAGAAAAGGTGCTCAATCATTGTAAGTTTAGGCAGAAAAGGTAGAGAATTGTAGAGTGTCTCCAAGGCCCCTTTCTGGCTCTAAAATTCCAGGAACTGCTATGGGCAATAAGCAGCTGCAACCACCAGTGCTACCAAATGAAGGAGATAGCACAAGCTAGAAACTTACCCAAATCCATACAACTGGAGCACCTTGTATATCATGATAATGAGAGAGAGAGAATACCAGATTCTGATTTTGTATCTAAACATCCTTGGAAGAGTCATTCAATATTCTATAGCCTTGGTTTTCATACAGGTAAAATGAACAAACTGCACTATTTCATTTCAGGTCTTGTCATACAATTCACATAATCACAACATGCTCTCTCAATGAAAATCAACAATAAAATGACTTAACAAAGGATCTTAGTAAGATCACTCACTGTGATGTGCAACCCACCCCTAATCAATCAGTGATCACCTTAATAGAGGGATGTAGGCACATAGCCATGGGTAAAGTTGAAGGCCAGAGTATTTTTTAAAACTCTGTTTTGGAAAACCTAATGTTTTACACTGCATTTAATTTTCTGTAGTGATATATCCAAACAGATAAAAGTCATTTTCAATTGTTACAATGGGAATTTAAAAATACTCAGTGCAGAGTGGGGATGTAGCTCAAGAGTAGAGCCCAGCATGCTCAAGGCCCTGGGACTTATTCCAGTATCAAAAAAACAAAACAAAAAACGAAAAGGGAAAAAGTGTTCAGTCACATTTAAAAATAATTGTAGACAACTACGTAGAACATAAAACTTCAGAAATAGTTAAAGGTGGAAATACAGTTTTCTTTTTTGTCCAGGGAGTGAACTCAGGATCTTGCACTTATGTGTGTGCCACTGAGCTAAATCCCCGGCCCCAGTTTTCTTTTAAAATACAACCTCTGCCAATCAAACCTCCAAGTGAAGTTGTTCTATTTTCTTCACCTAATTCTAACACAGAGAGCAAAAGCAGATCACCCTTATTACAAGAGAATTACAAGTTTTGTGACAGCATAATGCTTTCATTCTTAAATCCTCTGCACTATCAGTAGTGGGCCCAGGATTTGGGATGCTGGATGTTAAGTGCAGAATGTAGAAAGCCCCAACTCACCTGCGGTCTCTTTCTGGAATTTCTTTGATTGCTATTCGCACTTGATTGCTCAGAACTTGGCCAGCGTACACAATTCCATAGGTGCCTTTCCCCAAGATGATTCTCTCCCCATTCTCATCACGGTCATACTCATACTAAAGCAGGAAAAACAATGGGACAAAAACAAAGTTCATATAACTTGGAGTGAGGAAACCCTCCGAAAGTCCAAAAGTTGTCTAGTAATTTTTATAAAATTTATAAACATTATTTGAGTAGTAAGATGTCACAGTTCCTAAGTTATATAGTTTTCACTCAATAGTGACTCGGTGATTCACGTATTTATAACCTTATCAAATGGAATCTGAGAATTGAAAATATGGCTCACAGGGGCCAGAGATTTAGTTCAGTAGTTCTGCTGTCTACTTCACAAGCGCAAGATCCTGAGTTCGATCCCCAGAACAACAACAACAAAAAAAATATGGCTCATATATAACTTACCTAGCTCACCTTTTAGAGATTTCTTGCCATTTTAATGCTGTAACTTAAAACCTCTTCTAAGCATGTTCAGTACTCCAAATAGTATCCCTATCAACTTTTCAGGAAACAAACCTCTTTGAATATCCCAGGAATGAACATCAATAAAGTAGTCTTAATTCAGAGTATATATGCTGTTTCCCTCCTCTCTCAGTAACATAGATCTAGCACGTATTACAGAAATTCAATTTACAATTAGTATGGCTATATCCCCCTCAGTCTTATCATCAAAAGCTGTTATACACAGTTGCATGTGAGTTGATTTTTCTCAGTGATTAATAAAAGTGACTACATGCTGAACAACACTTAAAGCAGAGAGGAAGCAATACATATGTCTACTTACTGAAATGCAGTTTTTTTGTTTTTTGTTTTGAGACAGGGTCTTGCTATGCAGTTCAGGATGGCCTCAAACTTACTATGTAGCCCAGGCTGGCCTCAAAGTTGCAGCAATCCTCTTGCCTCAGCCTCCCGAGTGCTGGGATTACAGGTGTGCACCACCATGCCCGGAGATGCAGTTTATACACAGAACAGTTCTTACTTCTAAACAAGATAACTAAAGGGTCTCCACCATTGTTGGATTTAACTAGAAATTGGTATGTTCCCTAAAAGACTTTTATCTCACACCTTTCTTTGCCCCCCCCAGATATTGTCTTTAAAGCCTGTCACTCAGTTCATTTTTGAGTCTACACTAATAATTCTAGTATTTGAATCAGTCATTAATATGAAGTCCCTTGATGATTTCTTGTTGTTTGTTTTTGTTTTTGGTAGCAGGGATTGAACTCAGGCCTTTGCACTTGCGAGGCAGGTGGCAGAACCCCTTGATAATTTCTGAAAGATACTTCAAGGAATTCATTTCACTCTAACTTGGAAGTACAAAATCTCATTAAATTGTAATCACGGGTAGAAACTGACTAATGGCAAATCAATAATTGTACAAGATTTAAACATATGTAAAGTGGTATGGTACCTGTGGACTACAACTTTCCTGTCCAAAAGAGCTTATGATAATCCTTTCCTAAAAAGGATTTAAAAACTATTATATTTAATATACTATACACAAAGATATAACTAAAGTCATTTTAAATGAAAAAGACTGCTTCCAGCAGGCTACTTCTTTTGCAGTTGCAAAAAATACTATTATTTAGCCTAATAAAAAATTCTTCATAGACTGTCCACAAAAGAAAATTTGAGTCTAGTCCATGGCCAGATTTTTCTTAAACATTCTGACTAAAAGGATTCCTAGCAGTGAACTTTCTCTATCGCAATATATTAATCTCTGACAGCCATGGATGGTGATAGCTGGCTAGTTCAGAAAATAGTATTTTAAAATATGCTCAATTTTTTACATGAAAATTGGGATATTTACTTTAAGCATCAAAGATAGAATAAGGAATTCTTTCCAAGTTCTAGGCCTTCTGTGACTTACTTCTAATGTGTCTCCATCAGTCTCTCTGTCCAGCTCCACTGTAGGGCCCACTGCATTGGTCAGCATCTCTTTGACAAAATAGCAAAACCTAGAACAGTAAATGTCACAAAGATGCTGCTCATTAGGATCACTATGGTTCTTTATCTTTAACTTGGCATTATTACATTAAACCAGTGATGCTGAACCCTTCAGAGCCATCAATGATACAAACAGCCTGCTGCAGTATGCGTGCCATAGGCTCACCACCACTGCATTAAATTGTATTGAAACATAGCCGATCTTTTGTGAGCCATGGAACTAATCAATTCCCTCTGTGATTTGACATGGTACTTCAGTGTTTATCTAATCTAGACCCAATACCCACATGGTATTTGAATCTTCTCTATACAGTATCTCCACCAACTATGCACAATGATAACGCTGAGCACCTTCAGCAACAGAGAACTCATTACTTCCCAAAGGCAGTTCATTCCTTGAAAAAAACTCAATGAAAAATGTTTCCCTTTTATTGACCTGAAACTTCTTTTATGTGGGTTCTATTTATAGACTGCTTACAGTCAATCCCGTTTGTGTTTATATACCACATTTTCTTCATTCATCAACTGATGGACACTTAGGTTGTATCCAAGTCTTGGTAATTGTAAATAGTGCTGCAATAAGCATGGGAGTGCATATGTTTCAGAAAGATTTTAGTTGAGAGCAGAAAAGTGGTTACCAAAGGCTAGGAAGAGTAGTAGGAACTGAGGGATGGGGAAAGTTGATCAATGGGGACTAAGATGTACTTAGAAGGGGGAAAGAAGTCCTGCTGTCCCATTGGAGAATAGGGTGACTATAGATAAGAGTAATGTTCCATATATATTTTTTGAAAAGTTAGAAGAAAGGATCTTAAATGTTTTCACCATACAGAAATGATAATTGAGGAGACAGACATATTTAGTCTGACTTTATCATTATACAATACACATATGCATCAAACATCACAGGGTACTTTATAAATAAATAATTTTTATTAGTTAAAATTAAATAAAAATAAATTTTAAAAGAATTTTTTCTATATTAACAGCACCCATTAGCAATGTACATACTTTTTCATGTCCCTCTAAGTCTTTCCGTCTTGTTTCTTCACTGTTTCCCTCAGGACTTGAGTCACTCCACTAACAGGTCATTCTTCAAATGTGTCCCTGTGTTATTCTTCAGGTCTGACCCTGATACTAGCATTCTAGGGGTAGTCTAATCAGTGCTAAGAACAGCAGGACCATCTCTCTTAAGTTTTAGAGAGTTATCAGAGAGATATAGTTTTATTCAAGGGGAGGAAATGCATATGTTTGCTACATTATTCCACTGGCACAGAGAATTCTAATATTTACCATTATCCATAAATCTTTCTTACATATGCTGTTAAGCTGCATAGACTTTTGAAGTTCTTTATCTGCATATAAGTAATTATGATCTAGCAAAACTTTTTATTCAGTATTTTCTCTCAAGATGGCAGGGAAAAACATTCAGAATAATTTCCATAAAACTTTAAAATAGTCTTTTTGCTAACTAATCTATCCCTCTTTTTCTCCTAGTATTTGAACACCGGGAAACTTAATAGTTAGATTTTTTAGGAGATACATGATATGCATCCATCAAATAACTAAAATTTAAAAGATAATATTAATTGATGTTTAAGTATACGGAGCAACTAGAACTGTCATACATTGCTGGTAGGGGTGTAAATTCATGAGACTACTTTGGAAAACTCATAGTATTAGCCAAAGCTAAATATAAACCTGACCTATATAACCCAGTAACCCACTCCCAGATGTATATTCAACAGAAATAAATATTGTATATATGTTCACCAAAAGGCATCTGAAAAACTGTCACATGCTTACACAAGGAAAAACCACAAAAATATTAAAAGGATGGACACATACACATATCGTGACTGAATCACATAGCTACCATTTTAAGGAAAAGAAGGGAGAAGGAAAATTGCAAATTATTTGATTCTCTTGATTTGAAGGTAAAAAAATAAAACTAATCATGTGACAGAAATCAAAATTGTTATCAATGAAGTGGGCTTAATGACTGTAAAAGGGCACAAGGCATCGATTTTGGAGACAATACCTGGATGTAGGCATACGTAGTTTTATCTGATTATATCTTTAAGAGCATTTTATGAATTATGTATATCACACCACAATTAAAAATTATTAAATCAACAAAGCCAAGCACAGTGGCACACACTTATAATCGCAGCACTCTGGGAGGCTGACGCAGGAGGATTTATAGTTACATCCAGCCTGGGAAACTTGGGAAGATCCTGTCTCAAACTAAAAAAGGGGCTGGGGATGTAGCTAAGTGGAAAAAGCCAGTTGTGACCACATATTTTATGACTCCTTGTATACAAAATATCTAACATAGGCATATTCAAAGAGATTGAAAGGGTGGTTGCATAAGGCTTGGATTATGGCGATGAGCTTGGCAAAAATGGGGAGTAACTGCTAATGGATACTGGTTTTCTCTGAAGAAGTAATGAAAATATTCTAAAATTAGAATGTAGTAATGGCTGAAAATTCTGTAAATATACTAAAAATACTGAGTTGTATTCTTTAAATGATTGCAAGGTATGTGGATTTTATCTCAAAACTGTAAAAATAATTTTCTGTAAGTTAAAAATTTAAGAAACCTAGTAAAGCAAATACTTTTCACAAAAAAGGACCTTCCAAAATGATTCACCATAGATTGCAATTACCTGAATTAGTCATAACTCACCTGCTACACCGGTTTTCTGTTGAAAAGTAGATTTGAAAGTCATCAGAATTATTGTAGACATACAGAAAACAACACCGTCCATCAAACTTGGAGAGGCTACAAATTTCAAAACATATTTATACATAAGATATGATACCAATTTTAAATTTTTGAGAAAATATAGTAATAGATTTTCTTTCATTTTACAGATTCTTGATTCATTAATCTTTTCACAAACACTCCCAAAATTTGCCCTTTAGTTCTCTATGAAATTTTAATACCAGGGACATTTATCTTGCTTATGATTGAGTTGGTACTTATCAACTGACTTTAATGTGTATCAAGAGCTTCCTCTATACTAATTGCTAAGCTAAACATATGAGCAACAGAAGAGGGTATAAATATAGTCTCTTTTCTCTAGGAGTTTACAATCTCAGAAAAAGCCAAGTATTTCTGAAGTAATTTATTATGGTATCAAAGGCATTTGTAGACTTGGAAAATACCAGGACATGGTATTTGTGGTCACACAAAATACACAGAAATAAACACTGCATCTTAGCTCAATACAGGCCTTTAAATGCAATCTGGTGCATCTCCACCCTACATCTGGACCTGACTCTACAGTACCCCAAATAAGCAGCAATTTGCCTAAACATATCCAGTGAAAGAATGTCATCACACTCCAATCTGCCAACAGATTTCACTGTTAGAAAGCTTATCACTCATCCTTGACTAAACCCTCTGCAATGGCCTTCATTCTGCCAGGTGGAAATATAAAGAATCAGGCTATATTGATTCTCTTCTATGATTAGATCTCCAAATAAAAGAAGCCTCTTTAGCAGGCCTCTTCTAAGTCATCTCTTCCTGAGATTCAACACTTTCTTCTTTATGCTATGGATGACATGACAGAGTGTTGAAACTACAACCAACCAGTGTGATTAAAAATAATTAAAGCTAGGTTACGCATTAAGTTCTAAAAACCAATCTATAAAGGAACTATATCACAGTTCATTAGACAGTAGTAGGAATACCCAAAGCATACCCTTCATGTCATATAGTATCAAGTTCTGAGTCACCCCAAGCCCCTGAATGAAATGGCAGCTATAGGTGTCTCTATGAAGAAGTACAAACAGAATGTCCTTTCCTACACGTTCTTGTACAACTCTGTCACCAAGTAATACAATTTTGAAGATATTCAATATTTTTTGATCACCTTGTATTTTCTGGGCAGTATTACCCAAATTTAGTTTTATTATTTCCCTCCCATTAAAGTGATGTCAACAATTAGTCCATTTTTTCAATTTTTATTTTTTATTAGCATGTTGCAGTACATAATAATTACATTCCTCGTGGGGAGTTGTACTGTGTCTGGAAGTAACTGAGGATTCCTTCTGTGGTCTGAGGTAGTGTTAGAATCAGAGAAAGGACAGAAAGACCTAGTCCAAGCTCTTGATTTAATAAAAAACAAGACACTGAGACCTAGATAGGCTGGGTGACTTTCCAAAGTCACACAGCATGCAGGTATTAGAAATAACAGCTACTAAGGCGTAGCTGTACTTGGGGAAAGGTGTACTTAGCTCTGCTTGAGGAAAGTCACAAATGGTCACCATTCCTGATCCAAAAAGCAAGAACCACACTTCTTGGAATATATCACCTCTCTCTCTCCCTAATATCAATACCCATGGCTCCACTGCTTTTCCAGACAGACTCACCCAAGTGCCACTCACAATAAAACTCCTGGATTCAGATTTTAGGGGCCCTGAGCACTTAAACCTTTCTGAACCAACGAAGATACATTTTCTCTTTTTAAGGATGTAGCTTTACTTTCTTTTTAAATTTGAGACAAGAAAATTTCTACTGCTGGACATGAGAAAATTTACTGTTCTAACAAACCAAGAAGCTCTCACTCACTGGCTACACACTATAATCCTCAGGTTGACCAACAAAACAGAAAATAATCTATTTTAGGTTCCATTAAAAGAATATCAGGCTGGGGATTTAGCTCAGTGGTGCTGCCACCTGCCTCACAAGCACAAGGTCCTGAGTTTGCTCCCTGGTACAAAACAAAAAGAAACAAACAAACAAACAAAAAAGTCCTTAATCCTGGCATGGTGGTGCACACCTGTAATCCCAGCACTCCTGGGAGGCTGAGGCAAGAGCCCAGCCCAGGCAACTTAGTGAGAGTCCCAAAGTAAAAAAATTTTAAAAAGAGCTTAGGTAGGATGTAGCTCATTTGTGAAGGCCCTGTGTTCAAGCCTAACACAAAACAGTAACAGCAGCAGATCATTATTATTTGTGTTAAAGCAATAGTTTTTATTTTTTCTTATGTTACCTTATTCCCTTGATAGAAGAGGCTGTAAACTTCCATTCATGGATTTGTGTCTGCAACTGTCAAAGAGAGAAATCAGTAGCTTGATTTTTCTAAGGATAATTTTTTTTAGATTCATTCTAAAAAAATCAACCACTTCTGGTCAATCACTTCTGTTACTTTCAGTAGGGGTTAGGTGTTAGAGCAATATAATTTGCACAAGTTGGAACACCAGAAACACTTTCTACTATATCTAAAAATTCATTAATAATTCTAATACAGTTTAGAGCAAACAATGTATACTTGAAATAATAATTTCAGATAGAAATAATGAGCACCCAATAAATACACACTGAGCAGTCTTTTACCTTTTGTCAACACAGCAGGCAAACTCTAAAACAGGTTTGGAATTAACCCACCTAAGTTGAGTAACTTGCAAAAGTGTTTGGAGAAGCACAACTGTAATAGAACTATGATAGAACACTGAGCCATTCAGTATTTATTAATCATCATTTTCTTTTCCCCCTGAGCACATGTCTAAATTACATTTCCTAGCCCCCCTCTCAGTTAGATGGAGCATATGACAGAGTCCTGATCACTAGGATGTGAGCAGGAGTGTTGTGTACCACCTGCAGGCGTGGCCCATAAAAACCTCCACAGCACTCTCCTTTTTTTTCAGCCACTAGGAGATGGAGTGGGGGTTCCTGCCAACCAGGTTATAACATGAAGCATAGAAAAACTTATCATATTAAGATATTGAGATTTGGCAGCTGTTTATTGTAGCAGCTCGCCCACCATGACTAATAGAAAATTGTAAATGAAGGAAAACGTGAAGATTCCTCTCAAAGAAATAGGCAACAACTACGAGCACATATGCAAAACATTTTATCATTCAAGGAAAACTAGCAATTGTGACTGAAGAGTTCTTTTCCATTTCTTATTACAGACTATATACGAATAAAGTAAAACATTTGCAACTAGTAAGATATTGTATGTACCAACAGAAATTTATATTAAGAGTCAGAAACCATTATAAGATTCAAAATGAGGTGGCCCAAATTGGTAGAATGTCATGAGATCAAGCCATTTTGCTTTAAAAGTATTGAGTCACTTTAATAGCATTAGCTTTTTCTGCAAGTATTTGTCAAAATATGAGGCATTTTTCATCTATATCAATGAAATAAAGATTATACAACAAAATTTAAAAATTTTCCTTATATGACAGCGGCACTGATAACATAAACAAAGTAAGCAAGGTTGGTATCTGGCCCAGGAATTTCTGAAATGAGAACAGGGTGCTCCATGTTGCTGGCATCTGGAGGCCTGCGCAAAGAGAATAGGAACAAGATCTGCAGATATTTTATTTCTTGACCGATGCTAGCTACTGAAGTGAGTTCACCTTGTAAAACTCCATCAAACTGTACATTTATGATTTATGCAGTTTTCCACGTGTATATTATACAGGTGGAAGATCCTTATCTGAAATGACTGGGACTAGAAGCATTTCAGATTTTGAAATTTTTGAAGATTTTATAGTATTTGCACAGAATTTACTGGTTGAGCATCCCGGATCTGAAAATCTGAAAAACAAAAAGCTCAAAAATCCAGAACTTTCTGAACACTCCCATTGAAAAGGTTTTGGATTTTATAGCATTTCAGATTTCTGAGTTAGGGAGGCTAAATCTATACTACAATAACAAGTTTATTTTTTTTAAATATTTAAAGATATGCTCATTCTTCTAAGATTCATCTGTATGAACACCATGTATGTACTTTATTATAGCTTGAATTTTTCTCTTTTAGACTAAAATATTTAATGTACACAGTTCCGGAAAAAAACCCAAGCACATCATAGCAGTCCATCCACATTTATGGCTGTTGACTCTATTTCCAAAGATAAGATCGCTCAAATGTTAAATATTGGACAAGGTTACTGGCCTTCACTTGAGATACGACTATATCTGATAAGGAGTCTCCAATACAAATTTAAGCCTCTGCTTATTCTACAATGTTACATTTTATTTTTAAAGATATTGCTTATTTTTATCTGATTACAACATAATTGTTCACACTCTTTGTTTCCTGGAAGAAAAATCCTCTTCCTTTGCCAAGTTAATGGCAGAAATCTTCCCATACTTCAATGGAAACACACACATGCAAATAAATTTATCAAAAGAGCTTTTCAAAGGTGCTACATTTATTACTGAAAAATGTATGAAATTTAAAAACTCATGAAGTACTTTAGATAGAGAGATGAAAACATCACTAACACTACAGAACATCAGATCTAGCTGAGCATTTCTTTAATCTCTTTAATGGGCAATTACAACCTCTCATCTCCTGTACTGCTGGTACAAGTGTAAATTGGAATGGTATAAATTTCACAGTAACTTTTAAAAAAGCAAAAATTTGATAGTAACTATTAGAAATTTAAACACAAGTCTAGCAAGCCCATATCTGGGAATCTGCTCCTAAAATGCTTCTATGAACATGGGAGGATAGAGCAACCAAATAAAAACTGACCTATCACTGGCAAGAGTAAAAAGTGGGGATCTAAATAGGCATGAGTAAGAAAAAGGTAAAATAAAGTAGGTTCATCTAGATCAGGAATTACATATGATATGGAAACACAGAAACTATGATATTTAAGAAATCAAGTGGGTCAATGTGTACTGTATGGAAAACTGCCCATGATGTATAGATGAATTAAAAGCAGGAAACTGCAAAACAATAAACTTGTGCCATATGGTCACACTATAATATAAAATGCCTCTGTGTATGCATAAAATGTATAGACATATACATTATACATGTGTATGTGCTTTTAGAGAAAGGACACAGGGATATCCATCAAATCACTGGGGATGAAGATGGCGACAAGATTTGAAAAATATGGAGGTACTCTGTGTATCCTTTATTTAGTTCCTTATTATTTAACTTAAAAATAAACCAAGGGCCAGGGATTTAGCTCAGTGGTTCCAACGCCTGCCTTGCAAATGCAAGGTCCCAAGTTCGATTCCTGATACCAAAAAAAAAGCAAGTAAAAATAAACCAAATCTTTTATTTTTTATATTTATACTTGTGTATAAACACATCCACATAAGCCCCCTGTATACATATATACACGTACAAAAAAATGGAAAAATCTCTCTCCTTTCTTTCATCTGTGAGTATACCTTCTCATACTGTCCCATAATTTGGAAATTAAGCATAGGTACCTATTTATTCCAGTAGTATCATACAGACTTTCCTACTAGAAAATCAAATATTTGATTAAATACAGAAGAAAAAGCTTTTTATGATTTTTTTCCCTTACCATTTCTGAGGGTGAAACATGCCGCAAAGACACTGTTCTCTCCTCAGCTTCACTGTTGATAGACACATAAGCAGGCTGGTAGATTTTGGTTGGCTCTATCACCAGAACCTAAAATAAAAAGATTCTTGTAACATATAGGAACCTAAAACAAGTGAGCCTGCCCAATGAGAAAGTAGGACGATTTATACTCAACCAATACTGATGGAAGATCAACTATGTCAAGCATGACTCCAGTAGCTGGGGGTAAAGCAAGACACACAAGGCCCTGCCTGTGACACGGTTGTGCTCCAATGGGACAGACAGAGCAGCAAACAGTTAGGGATATACAATCTAATGTCATGTAGTGCTCTGAAGAGAAGACAGGTAGGTGTGCGCACGTGTGTGTGTGTGTGCATGTGTGCCTGTGTGTTTCATCAGATAATGTGGCCAAGAAAGGCCTGCCTGAATTGGTGACAAGAGAAGAGGGAAGTTACCACTTTTGAGAGAACAAGGAATTAGACTGGATGGTGATCAGATAGCAAGTCTGTATAATTGAAGGGAGATGAAAAGTGAGTGCTACTTCTACCTGCAAGATGTTCTTTGGTTATAAGAGAAAGGGGAGAAGAGGAGAAGGAGGGAGAGAGAGAAGGTGGCAGGTGGAGAGGTGGAAAGAGGGAGCGAAGGACTAAATCTCCAAAACAAAGCAACATGTTTAAGATTGCTAAACCTGAATACAGCTTACACAAGTGTCTGTTTTGTTACTGGTTTGGTACTTTTCAAGTTTGAAATATTTCATAATTAAAAGAAGATTTTAAAATGTTATTATACAGGAACAAAATCATTATCATAATCCTAACAATTCCATCTTGTATTAGATGTTTAATGAGCCTAGATAAAATATAAAAAGGGACAGAATGAAGCTGCCATTGTCGCTTGGTGCTTTCTGCCTTCTGTCCACCATGAACTACTTTCCTGTGATGCCTCTCTGCCAAGCCACCCTGCCTTGGAACCAGCTGATTATGGACTGAATCCTCTACAAACTGAGCTAAGTTTCCTCCCTTAACTTTGGCCATCAGGTATTTTGTTTCAGCAATGAGAGTAAAGTCACTAAGACACCAGCTACTCCTCAGAGGACTAATATCTAGAATAAAGAACTCAAACTACCTCAACCATCTAAATAAAGGACCTAATAAAAATGGGCAAGGGAATGAATAAATACTTGAGAAAAAGTACAAATGGCCAATAAACATATGAAAAATGTTCAACATCTCTGGCCATTAGAGAAATACAAATTAAAACAATGCTAAGGATAAAGAAGATGTGGTTTTTCTATAAAATGGAGTATTACTCAGCCATAAAGAATGAGAAATTACCTAAACTCTCTTGCTATGCTTTGCTGCCTTGAGTGTGCCACGTCGTTTCTGCTCTGCTGTGCCTGTTTGTTATCGCTGCCTTGGAGTGAGCCAATTATAGTCTGCAACCTCCACAAACTGACTACAGGAATATGTGGAAGCTGTCTCTTTTCAACACTTCATCAAAACACAGTCATTAATCAGCATAGATGAAATTAATAAACAGTTGATATTTACAAGAAGACAGTGGAAAAGAAAACAAGAATCCCTCCTCTGATGCACAGGATAAGCAGCTGGTCACATGAAGCCTGAAAGTCACACCTGTTGATTACCTCCTGGGAGTAGCCGATTTAACTGGAGAATTGATACGGATGTGTATTAACAGTGTGGGGAACGGGGACATTGACACCCCCTTTGAAGTAAGCCGGTTTTTACGCCAGGCTTATGATGGATTCTCATTCATTGGCAACACAGGGCCTTATGAGGTCTCTAAGAAGCTGTATACCTTGAAACAGAGTCTAGCTAAAGTGGAGAATGCTTGTTATGCTCTGAAAGTCCGAGGTTCAGAGATTCCAAAACATATGCGGGCAGATGTGTTTTCAGTTAAAACAGAAATGATTGATCAGGAAGAGGGCATTTCTTAGAATAGTATCAGTCAGCTATTCCCTTATGAATTCCTGAGAGAGACCAGTTTTTAAGTCTGTTACTTAGTGTTTCATTTGATTTTGTTGTGGCTTTTACGTAGAAATGTTTTCAGTTGTACTTGTTTTAAATTGTAAACAAGCTGTACACAAAATGATCCAAATGAATACTTTTTTATTCATGCAAATTTGCTGACAAGTGTTTGCATATAGGCTTATTTGAATTTTTGCTAGCTAACCTTTATCATTTATTGAGTTGTGTGAACATGCTTCCAACTGTACTTTCTGCTGTACCTATTTTAATTTACTTTGTGTGAGTTTTAGAGGGATAAAGCCATTGAAGTTGGTGATTTTGCTATATAGAAAAGATTTCTCAGACTTCTGGGCTTGAACTTCCTATTTAAATTTCTTAGTTATTTGCTAAGCTTTCAAAATAGGTTTAATCCATGGAGCAGTTAAAATTAATATTTTAAAGTGTAAATTTTGAAATATTATAGTAAGGATTCATATAAAATTCTGGCTAATTTTAGGCCACTTTGAATTTATATAAAACAACCTTCCAGAAAAACTGACAGATACCCTGATGTTAGTTTCAATGTTTATGTTTTGTCCTTTTATCACAGATGATCTGATGGGAATTAGAGCTAACAGTATAATATTTTTAATTGATAAAGTTGAGTTAAATTGTGTATTTGTACATACAACTGAAAAGCTTTTAGTAGTGACTTTATTTTTAGCATATCTTTTTGGTCATTGTATTAGGCATGTTTGGAGGCTTTCTTATTCTTGCATCTATTAGAAGTTACATTTAAATATTATAATGAAATTTGGAAACACTAAGCTAATCCAAACCCTTATAATTATCCATGGTGTTAATTGATAAAGTTGCCAAAGAACATGCATTACGTACAATTCAGCAATAAGACAATGGTAGTCTTTGGTAACCCTTGGAATTAGGATTTGCCGACTGATGTTAGTCACTGATTGTCACTCATGGTATGAAGCAATTTGAGTGTGACGTGATTGGCTGACAGCCAGACATTTCCAGTAGGTTTTGTGAGTACTGAGAATCCAGATACTGGATTTTATTTTTTGAAAGATTATCTCTGTTTGTAAGGGCTGACTCTTTAAAAATGTTGTTTTTTAAAAACTATTGCCTAAAGGGAAATAAAATGTAGATATGCCTGATAGGTTGGTTGGTTGGTTTTTTGGTAATGGTGGATTTTTTAGTTTTCCTGTAACTATACTGCTGAATTATAATCAGTCTCACTACATATTTTTTGTTTCTTCTACCACTTGAAGTTTTATAATGTTAAAAAGGTAATAAGGGATTGATGTTTTACAGATGTTTAAAATAACTTATGAATAAAATATTAAAATACAAAAAAAAGAATGAGAAATTAGAGTTACTCATAGGAAAATGGATGCATACATATTGAGGTCATACTCATAAGTGAAGTAAATAAGCCACACATGTGTAAATACCAAATAGTTTCTCTGGTGTGAATAAGCTATAATTGTAAATAAGATCCTAATGGTAAAAATGACAATGTGTAATAGGAAGAAAAGGGCTAAAGGTGTAGGGGAAGTGGGAAGGGTAAGGGGAAAGGAAATAAGGGAAAAGAAAAAAATATGAGAAAATGAAAAAATGGAAATAAAGTTTTTGTAAATAGGGAAGGGAGGGCAGGGGTAAGGGGAAAAATGAGAACCAAGACCTGTCATGTAAAGGTACAAGATCCCAATGATGACTATAACTGTACTGTATACCTAAAATGTACCAATAAACTCACTGAGGAAAAAAATAAAACAATGCTAAGGTTTCATACCAGAAAGAATGCCAATCATCAATAAATCAAACAATGATACATGCTCATAGGGCTGCAGTGAAAAGAACATACTCCTACATTGTTGGTAGGAATGTAAACTAGTACAATCATTATGGAAATCAATATAGAGATTTCTTAAAGAACTAAAAATAGAATTCCATTTGACCCAACTATTCTCTTTCTAGGTAGGTCTCTAAAAGAGCTATAGACATCACATTACAGTGATATATATGCACACCAATGTTAATAGCAGCATAATTCATAATAGCTAAATCCTGGAAGCAGCCTATACATCCATCCATAATCAGAAGAATGGATAAAGAAAATGTGGTATCTATACATAATGGAAAACTACACTCAGCTATAAAGAAGGATAAATTCAAGACATTGTAGGAAAATGGATACACATGAAAAATATAATATTGTGAATAAATCAGACATGGAAGCTTAAATACTATAATGGTTTCTCTCATTTGAGTAATTTGAAATATAAAGAAAGAGGAGATGGATCTTTTGCAAATGGGAAGGTGTCTACAAGACCAAGGATGAGGGAAGAGAGGGAGGGAAAAGGAATGTAAAAAGATTTAAGATGTGTCATATACATGTATCAAATATCCACAATGAATATAAACATTATATGTCCTGAACATAAACTAAAAGTAGTAATAATGAAAAAAATGGTGAAAGAGAATTTAGACATGGAGGCAGGGAGGTGGCGATAAAAGGAAAGAATCAAGATATATTATGTACATGTACCTACTTTCTAAGATGAATGTAAACATGTATTGCAAAAATGTACTAATAAAATTTTTTTAAATTATAGTTTTGTCCCTTTCAGAGTACTCAATCATTAGATAACACAAATCCTACTTTCTTTTGTCTATCTTAAAACTATTCAGGGGCTGGGGAGAGAGCGGGGAAAAGAGATTGATTTAGCACATCTTACTGGAAATCTGAGTCCATCAGGAACTTTAGTCGTTTCAAAAATTATTTCTAACCAGAAGTTAAGTTGTTCTTGACTGGATGAATAGTCAAAATCAAGTTTCTTAAAGCGCAGAATTAACAACAAGTTTTGAACTAATGATCGCAGGTACCTGGAAAAAAGTCACAAAAATTTATGAATTAGATCCTAAAGAAACTTAATTTTATTCCCTTTAAAAGAAGCTTCCCTGAAACTTTATACAGTATAATTAAATTCATCTTATGCCATGAGCACTTCAAAACCAATCATTGGCAGTCACATAACTAATTAAAGGAAAACCAAACAGTAGGCAAATAAGGCAGTTTGACAAAATCATAACATGGCTTTTTACCCAACATTGGTCAATAGCATCAATTTTAGTACATAGTATCCAAAGTGTAGTGACTGGAAAACATGATAACTGCCTTCAATAACCAAAGCTAGTAGCTCTTCAGTCAAAGCAATTACACAATTTCAACCCAATGTCTTTTGCGGGGGGGAATCAAAACTCAGGACCTTGCACTTGACAGGCAGGCACAGTGCCACTGAGCTAAATCCCTAGCATTCCACTGTCTTTTTATTTTGAACTAATTTTAGATTTACATGAAGGTGTAAGAAATTATACAGAAACACTTTTACCCTTGACCCAGTTTTCCCCAATGGCAGCATCTTGCAAATCTATAGTACAGTATCATAAGCAGGGTGTTGCCACTGATACAGTCAAGGTAGAGACCACTTCTATCATGCTGCCTTTCTATAGTCATGCCAATTTTCTTCCCATTTCTATCCTCACTTTCATCCCTGGCAATCATTAATCTTCAACTCACTGTTTTCATTTATTTTTAAATAGAATCTGACCAGGTAAATTTTTAATGTGAAGGACTCTTGACTCTGTCCACACCTTTGTTGCCCTTAGGCAAATTAAACTTTTTTTTCCATTAAGTTTATTGGTACTTTTTAGGTGTACTCTACAGTTACATTTATGATTGGGATCTTGTACCTTTACAGGACAGATCCTGGTTCTTTTTTCCCTTTACCCCTGCCCTCCCTCCAGCCCCTCCACCATTCCTATTTACAAAGACTTTGTTTCCATTTTTTCCTTTACTCATATTTTTTCTTTTTTCTTTCCTTTCTCCTAACCTTCCCACTCCCCTACTCCTTTAGCCATTTTCTTCCTATTTCACATTACCAATTATACAATTTGAATCTCATTTACACTTTGTTTTTCACACCAGAGAAACTATTCGGTATTTACACACATGTGTCCTTTTTTTTTTTTTTGCCTTTTGCCTTATCTAATTTAACCTTTCATTATAATAAACCAAAGCTGTGAGTATAACAGTGTTTCTGAGTTCTATGGGTCTTTCTAGTAAATCATGAACCTCACAGTGGTCTTGGGGACCTCTGAATCAATTAGTAAAAAATACTGCAAGTCAGCCCAGGGGCAGATATAATGAGAATTCATCCAATCCTGGAGTCTTTTCACCTAGAATCAGCAATATCTGGTCTAGATGTAGGAATACACCTTAATATTAGGACTCTGTAGGGTCAGGGATTCAGCTCAGTGGTACCGCCACTCAAGGTCCTGAGTTCGATCCCCAGTACCCAAAACACAGAAACAAAACTGAAACAAAACAAAATATTAGGACTCTGCACAGAGCAGCCATTCTAGCAAGGCTGGAGGCCATCCTCATTCTGTAGTCTCTCAGCCTCAGAGAACTCTTAAGAGGCTATGATGGTTTCTGAACCAAATTTAACATCTTTTGGATTGGGAAGAAATAAAATCAAACTAGGCATAACTGAAGAGACTCCTACCTTTGGGAACTGGACCACTGAAGTGGGAAATAAGATGTGGCAAGTGAACATGGACTACTAAAAGTAAATTTTAAGTAATTATTCTAGTACATGGTTTTAATCTAGGAGGGCTCCTTCCTATGTACTAGCCCCCTCCCCCACAACTGTGCTGCAGCACAGGCCCTGTTAAAATAAAGACTTTTTACCTTGGCATTCCTGTAAGCCTGCCTATGTTTTATTTCTTGAGTAGTGTGGGCTCCAAAAGTCCTGTAAGTCTACTACAATTTTTACCCTGGCTAGTGTGGACAGAGTGAATAAACACAGCTGTTAACACCAAAGAGAAAAAAAATATTCAAGTATGGGGTGATTATCCCTAATGTGAGGAAGAGAAAACTGAAATATTCCAAAATCCAATACTTTACGAGCATCATGTTGGCACTCAAAACTTTAGAGTTTTGAAGCATTTCAGATTTGAATTAGTGATGTTCAAAGGGTAAGGTCTATGAGAATATCTCAAACTAATAAACAAACCCAAAATCTGAAACACTTCTGGTCCTGAACATTTTAGATAAGAAAACACTCAACTTGATCATCCATAAGCATTTTAGAAAACTAAGAAAATTGAGATAAGCAATAAAACAAATTAGAAAATTCTTGTAAGGAGATCCTAATGATATAATTGACAATGTGAAATAGGAAGAAAAATGCTAAAGGTGTAGGGAAAGTGGGAAGGGTAGGGGAAAAGTAGTAAGGGAAAAAAAAATGAGAAAATGAAAAAATGGAAATAAAGTGTTTGTAAATGGGGAAGGGAGGAAAGGGTGAAGGGAGGGCAGGGACAAGGGGAAAAATGAGAACCAAGACCTGTCATGTAAAGGTACAAGATCCCAATAATGAATGTAACTGTACTGTATACCTAAAATGTACCAATAAACTCAATGAGAGGAAAAAAAAAAGAAAATTCTTATAAGGCTATTTCTCTGAGATAACCAGTCAATATTTTGGAGAAAACCCCTCCTTTATCCTTTAACCATTGTGTAAATATCTACTGAGCATATACTATGAGACTGCAGCCATCAACAAGATAACCACAATTATAGTGACAGAGCTTTATGTCTATGGGGAAGTAGAGTGGTTACTTCTCCCAGACCTTTCCCTGTGAGTCACACATCAAACACATATATAACTAAAACAAGATCCTGTAGAAAAAAAGTTCTCAAAGTGTGGTTTCCCAGACCTAGCATCAGCATCTTACCATTTGTAAATGCGAATTTTCAGGTTCTTAGACCTACTGAACTAGAAAACCTGAGGGTGGACCCATTAATTTGTATTTTAATCAGCACAGGTGATTTTGATGCACGATAAAGATTGAGAGCCACTAATAAGGAAAAATATACTCTGAAACCGGCTTTTACTCTACAATAAATCATGAGCACACTTCCATGTCTTTTCTTGCCTACACACTTAAATGGTTGCACAATGGCCTAACTTCAGGCTGTTGCTGTGCTGCTATTTTAGAGACCACACTCTATTATTGGTCTTTTAGTTCCAGTATTCATTTATTATGAACATCAATTTCTTGGTGCGCTTTTTAAACTTTACTGTGTGCTTTCTCACAAATGAGTAATACATACAATTGCCAAAGAATATTTTGCTCTTAAGAAGTTAGACAACCTGAAGAAGTTAATAGGATTGAAAGTCTAATCTGAAGGAGTGTGTAAGGGCTTATTCTGTGTGTTCATATGTCTCTCTCTTCCCTCACATAAATGCAGTGAGCTCTCAGACCTGTTATGTCTGCTCTAACTACTTTAATGAAGAAGTCAGAAGGAGAAACGGCAGCTATTACTCTTTTGTGCATTTCTACCTTTTCTCCTTTGGGGAGACATTTCAGAGCAAGGTCAGATATTGAGGTGAATGATGACAAGGTACAGGTAAGACTTACCAGACTGGAGGCTTCAGTCTAAACAACCTCTCCGCTGCCTGGATAGCTTTCCCAACATTGCTGACCAGCATGGTGATGGTGAAGACGTGAGCCACATCCCAGTAATTGCTCATTTTCTCCAAGCTCCCTTTTCTTTCCAACAAATTGTTCAGATGGACACCTTTAGAATTTGAATTTTAGAGATGTCATGAAAACTCCTTCTAGTTCCTTATCATAGTAAAAAAGCAGGCATTTTATTTTGGCTGCAGTTTTAGGTGTGCTGTCAGCAATTAACTGTTATTTTTTAAATAGAATACTAGTTATTTGGACACAATTTTTAATGCTAAACTTGTGTAATGAAAGCATCAACATCTGCAATAATAAACAGATTTACCTATTCTTCTTAGTTCCCTAGAAGTTTCAAAGTTCTGTCCAGCAACTATCAGCAAAATTACAAGGTTAATTCCCGAATAAAGAGATGGCTGGAGTTCAAATCCCTTGCGATACCTGTTAATTATAGAATCAAATTCTTATTATATCATACTATTATGTCTAAACAAAAATGCACAGATAATGGTACAGGTAAAAATTACGTTCTCATAAAAATATTTATTACAGTTTCCTTCCTCACCTGATTAACAGCTACATGAAACTCACAAATAACTTTACAAAAAAATATAACAACACAGTAACTTACACTAACAAGTTTTACATTTTTTCTTCCCAAGACTTATATTTTTATAATAAAAAACAGTGATCACATAAATATGGCAATTGTATGACAGTATCCAAAGAAATTTAAATTTATTATAATCATAACTCCAAAGATGACCACAATTTGATCTCCAGATTTACTTTTTCAAGTTAGATTCCACTTGTACATTATTTTTATTACATAGAAATGGCATAAATCATAGGTTATTTCTCTGTATGTCATTTGTTTTTATCACAACATGGAATCATTTTTTCATGTATGAAGCCATAATACCAGAATCCAAGTCCCAAGTAACTATGATAGCAGTGGCATAAGTGGAAGGAAGGGGACAGGGATCTACCTACCATATAAGGAACAAGATACAAAATTGGGGATATAATTTGCATGTGAGAAGGTTAACAGGTCCACTTTAACTCTCTTTTCTATACATAAAGTTTCTCTTTCATAAGCAAGTTATGATATTGTGATCAGGAAAAATGATTCAATCAAATAAATGATAACAAAAATGTCGAAGTGATACAGTTAACACCAAAGATGTGCAAAACCAGAGTAATTTTATCATTCATGTGACAAGAGAATTCAACAATAAAATATTATTACTTGGAGGGAAGTTATTTTTAAGTCCATTAAAATATGGCTTTATGAATTTTGGAGCATAATACAAGTTTCATCTGACAGACCACAAGACGCCAAGAAAGTTCTTCTTAGTCATCACCAAAGTTCCAATTCCAATCTTTTTTCCTTCATATGTTTTGGGAATGTAAAATTCCATATCCTGATGGATTTAATTTTTAAAAAAAATTTTGGCACCGTGCCTGCCTTGCAAGTGCAAGATCCTGAGTTTGATCCCGGTAATTAATAAATAAAAATAAATAAATAAATAAATGTTTTTGCTGTGAAAAATTACATAACAGAGGGCAGAGATGATTGGACCTCCAGTCAGAATCATGGTCCCAGATTTGCCACTAACCGTCCCTGTGACCTTAGACCAGTCACTTACCTCACTGGCCCACATGTTCTGTATTCATATTTGATGGTCTGGGTTAAATGACCACCAAGTCTCATCCAGAGCAAATGCTCTCTGATCTGAGGCTACATTTTGTCTTGTATCCACCACCACTGTCTTCTGAACCAGGTGCAGAAAACTCCCCGACTTTATTTTGGTACTGGAGATTAAATTCAAGACCTCATGCTTGCCAGGCAGGTGCTGTGCCACTGAGCTAAATCCCGGGCCCCTCCTCTGACTTTCTTGAAGGAGCCATAAGCAGTGATTTCCTGAACTAGAGGGTTGAATTCTTGGCCACCAAAATGTTGGACACAGTTTACTGTTTTAGCTCTACTAAACACCAACTTCTCTTCAAAACCTTGGATAATTCCACTCTACCATACAGTGCATCAGCTACTACTAGCATTAAATAAGAATAAGGTCTGTGATTTCTAAGAACCTACTCTGTGATGGAGAAGATAAGATCCATATACAAATAGTGAAATACGGTGGACCCTCAAATTACGACCAGCCTGACATACAAACAACTTGGGTTAATTAGGTTAATGGAAGATTCATCTGCCTCTTGTTTTCTATAGCATGTACCCAGGTAAACATCCAGATCTCAGTTGTACTGACTTATAACCAACCTGAGTTACAACCAGCCCTTGGGAACCAATCAAGTTCATAAGTTAAGCGTCCACTGTACAAGCAAGGATGTGATAAGTATTCTAAAAGTACACAAGTCCAAACCCAGAAAAATTTACAAAAACACATCCCTCTAGAGAATGAATATATAGCATAAGATGGCTAGAAATGTAACAGCAGTGATTCTCAAAGGAAACCCCTGGAATACAAAATGGTGGGAATAGAGACAAGAGCTTGAAATCTTCGGTACCACAAAAACAAAAACATCAAAAAAAAAGAGCTTGATGAGCTCCTCAGGAACTTCAGTTTAGTTGAACATACACTAGATAGTGGAAAATAAGGATAGAGATGGGTTAGAGAAAGTTCTCAGAACATTCAGAATGGCCATCCGAGAATCTGAATTTATATATATATGTTGGTACCTTTGTTCACAAACGCATTTGTTTACAAACAATTTGATTCACAAACAGAAGCATTTAGCAAAAAAAATTGTTTTTGTTTTCAAACTCTGCACTGGGTGACAAACATGACTGCAGCCATCTTTCCCACACAAACACAAAAGCGGTCATCTTTTCCAAAAATGTAGAACAAATTAAGTCCATGAACCAAGGTATCACTGTAATAGGAAATAGGCATCAGTGTTGGGAGTTTTGAGCTTTAGGAGGAGTAAGCTGTAAATCTGTGAAGGACTGACTGGAGGAACTGAAGGATGGACTAGAGGCTCACAAGCAGGGATCCTACAAACAACATTGTTAATATTTCTAGCAAAAAAGTAAAACAGGGCAGTGCCTAGGGGTGGTGATGATGGGAAGGATTGACAAAGAGTGAGGAAAGACTCACAGAAGGGCTAGAAATTGGAACTGACTGTATGGGGAGATAGGTGAGGGTAGGAATCAAACATTTACCAAAAGTTCAAGTGTAAGCAGGTGAAGAACAGTAGTCAAAAAGTAAGAAAATGGAAGCCATACTTTGTAAGAGGGAAAAAAATGACTTCGGCCTTCAACATGTTGACTCTCAAATACTCATACCATCTTCAGGGAGAACAGGGAGGCAAAAAGGGGTGATGTAGGGTGACAGTTTGGGACAGATTTTGGGCTGGAGATCTCCAGCTAATGGTCCCAAGATGTGGGAATGGCTGAGACTGTCAGGGAAGTGAGTGTGGATGAAGGGAAGGGGGCAGATAACAGAGCCTCCAACAGGTATGGCAGAAGAAGCTGGGGGAAAGCAGTGAGATTTTAATGAGAGCAGACAAAAATGCCAAGAGTTCTTTTGATGAAGGACTGTTGGCCAAACCTTCAAAATTCCAGAATTCAATTTCTTATCATTTTCATCTCTACTATCCAGGATCAAGACACCATCAGTTCTCCCCTAAATTATTGCAATAGTCTCCTAACTGTTCTCTGCATCTGTCCTTGGCCCTGTGTCAGACTGTTTAATGATCACAAATTTCACTCATCTCAACACAACTTTGCCACTCCTCCTATCCAGAAGTGTAGTGTATTTCTTTTCTACCCTTTTGATTTGGGCAGGCCATGTGATTTGCTTTATTGAACAGCATATGGTATAAGTGATTGAACATGAGTTCCCAAACCTAAGCCCCAAGAGGCTTTGCAGCTTATACCTTCAGTCTCTGAGAATGCTGCCTACCAAGTAAAAAAGTGTATCTACCAGCCTTAGAACCACATGGTAAAGAATGAAGGTATAGCACTAACAGTTAACACAAACTATGAAATGGGTACAGGGCCATCTTAGATCTTCTAGTCCTGCCTGACCCTACAGCTGATTAATTTCAGGTTTAAGCCTAGGTGAAGCCAGACTAGAACTGCCTAGAAAACCCACAGCATCACTGCTATTGTTTGAAGCCATTAACTTTTTTTTGGGGGGGTACCAGGATCAAACTCAGGATCTTGCACTTGCAAGGCAGGTGAGGTGCCACTGAGCTAACTCCCCAGCCCTAAAGCCATCAGCTTTTGAGGTTATTTGTTATGCTTCAAGGCAGAGCTGAGACACCTCCCAAAATACATTCTTTGTATAATACTGACAATAGTCTTGTTAAAATGCATGTCAGACCTTGTCACTCCCCGGCTCAGAATCCTCCAATGATGTGCCCACCTAGTCAAAGTAAAAAAATCTTCCTTCCCTATCATTTCATGCTGCTCTCTTCTGCTTACCCCTCACCATCCTGAAGCACGCCAGGCATGCTTTCTCCTCAAAGTATTTGCCCTTGCCCTTCTCTCCACCTTGAACACTTTTCTCCTTGTCTGTGAAGCCCACTAACTCACCATCATATATCTTTATCTGCCTTTACCAACCACCCTATTTAACACTGCAGACCACCCTCGAAGCCCTCTTTTTTCCTCTGCCTGCTTAACTTTTACCCATATTCCTTACAATTGGCTGAAATCCTATAATTTTACTCTGTTTGTGTGACTTTCCTTTCCAACACTGCAAAGCATCTGGGGGCAAGGATTCACATCGGTTGTACCCACGTTCCCATCTAGAAAAGTTTCTGGTATAAAGTAATTCCTTGATTAACATTTGCTGAGTGAATGAATAAATGAACAGCTTATTGAGACAATAATTCCCTGATGGAGTAAACAAAGTTCTAGAAGGGGTAGGTGAAAAGAAGCATGTTAAGCCTTCTCTTGCCTCATAAATGAGTTGAACTTATGAGATGAGGGTGACTCGCAGAAAACCCTTGTTCTCATAGTTTTCACTTAGAAGAAGGAATCTGGAAATCTCCAGGCCAATTTACTGCAAATTTTTTTCACTTCAAGCAGACAGGCACACACACATGTCCATAGGGAAGGACCACTGGATGTTCAGCCTATTCAATTCTATTCTTTTCAGAGACACATGTGCTATTTACCATGAAATGGCCTTTTCTCGGCTGATATCATCTTCACACATTGAATCCAAGAATATATCCTTGTAGATCCTCCCACAGAGGCAGAACATGTCAGGGGATGGGTGGTCACAGCTGTGCAAAATCTGGAAGATGACCTGAACAGCCTTCTCACGGTCACTTGTGCCATTTCTCCTGAAAGATACATGTTGTAAGATCATATCTGGATCACAACTGAGGAGTATACATGCATTTGTTCTTCTGGAAGACTGAGTATGAGGGTGCTGCTGTGCTTTAAAGGAAAAATATTCTAAGGAATATTTCAATTTTTCTTTCACATATACCAACTGCTTAAGATAGACTCCAGTAAGTGTCCTACAAGTACACTCAGTTCTTACTTGATCCTATCTCCAACATACCATATGAAAAGAAAAAATAAGGGAAAAGCAATATAATGAAAAAGAAATAAGTTCATATTAACCAAATTCAACATATAGACTTTGTCTGGGTCGTGTCTTACATAAACCCACTGTAAAAAGAAATGAAACAATTAGGAAAATATGAACAATGATGTTGAGGAATTATCGTTAAATTTTAGATATATCATAATCAAGATCTTTTATAAACTGTCCTTAACCTTTATTGATATAAAGTGGGTAAAATGTTATGTCTGATTTATAATGAATCCAGCATTAGAGCATGAAGAAGTAGGACTAAAGGGGAAACAAAACTGACCATGCAATGATAATTGGATATTCACATGAATAAGGGGTATATGAGGGTTCATTACAGTGATGGTGCGGTGTCAATTTGACTTGGCTAAAGGAAGCCCAGATAGCTGATAAAATACTGTATGTGAGTGAATCTGCAAGTGTGCTTAATAAAATTAGCATATGAATCAGTAGACTAAGAAGATCTGCCTTCACTCATGTGGGCAGGGCATCATCAGACCCTGTTGAAAGGCCCAAATAGAACAAAAAGGCTAAGGATGAATCGCTCTCCCTTCCTCCCTCCCTCTCGCTCCTCTCTCTCTTCCTCAACCTCAGTCTCATTTTTATTCCCATTCATTCTCCCTCCCTCCCTATCTTCTACCCTCAGAGACTGACATTTCTAGTTCTAAGGCTTTCAGACTATGAGACTTACACCAGTGGGACCCCAGTTCTTAGGTCTCTGGACTCAGACTGAATTATACTACTGGCTCCTCTGGGTCCCCAGCTCCTTATGGACAACATATCATGGGACTTCAAGTCCTCCATAATCACATGACCAATGTTCATAATAAGGTTTATATATCTATTGAGAACTCTACCTAAAAAAATTACACTATTCCTTACTTTGGAATATATTTGAAATTTTACACAATAAAAACCAAAAAATGTAAAAGGCACCCATCCTGACTCAACAGTTGCACTTATAGAATCTGTAATGTAGAAATATTTAGAATTTTTTGATCAAAGATATGTTATGCTTGTAATAGTGAGGAACTGAAAATGATACAAATGTCCATCAGCAAAAGAAATGGACAATATATCCTGTAGCAACCTAACTATGGAATACCATGCAACTCTAATAAAGGAGCAGATCCAAATGCAATTATATAGAAAAACTTCTTTGCATCACATGGAAAAAACTGCTGAACTAAATGAAAAGCATGATGCCTTTGAAATAAATACTATTTATATACATGTTTATATACATGAACAAAAGCCTGAAAGGACACACATTAAACTGTTCAGAAAACCAATGGTGGGATTTATAAAAGATGGTCCTGTGTAAATTTTGTTAATAATTATTTTAACACATGAATAAAGAAATTATCCTTTTAAATTTCTTGGTAATTTTACAACAGGCTCTTTTACGCTTTCTTTGCCAAGTACATGTATGTTATCACAAAAAACTACTGCATTATCCAAGAAGCCTGAGTAGGACATAAAATAGCCTTTGTCCACTGGGCTTCCATAACAGAATTAAACCCCAGAGCAAATTATTTGATTACTTGACTATTTTTTCAGTTCTCTCAAGGACAGTACATGGTTCGCTCCATTCAAGACACATGACAGAAATTCATTCATTTTATACAATGGATGCCATGGGGCATTAGGCCTTAATTCTCTTGTTGGAACCCAACCTGAGCTGAAAAGGGCTAATCTCGATATTTGGCAGCCTTCTGGAAACCTGCAATAATTAAGTCTTTATTTTGACTGACTTTTCCATTTTCTACCTTACTCTTATTTAATGTATTTGAGCGCTTGTCCCTTTGTCATACAGAATCTAATTTAACTAGTCTGCAAACCAGATCTCTTTTCTGCACAAAGCACCCATGATATTCTCTAATTTTTGTTTGTTTTGGTTTTTTTTTTTTGTTTTTTTTTTGTTTTTGTTTTTGTTTTTGTTTTTTTTTT